CACGCGCTCCTCTTCGGTCTCGACCTCTACAGCTGAGGCTGAGATCTACGCTGGTGCCATGGCGGCACAGGAGCTGCGTTGGTTGACCTTCTTGCTCACCGACCTTGGTGAGCGGCCGAGCTCTGCACCGACCTTGTTCACTGACAACAAGGCGTCTATTCTCCTTTGTCGAGAGCCACGACTGGAGAGCAGAGTGAAGCACATTCACGTCAGGTACTTTCTTCTGCGAGAGTTGCAGAGGCGTGGACAGGCTCGCTTTGAGTTTGTGGAGTCCGAGGCCAACACTGCAGACATCTTCACCAAGGCGCTTCCGCCTTGTGACCACCAGAGGTGCTGTGTGCAGTTAGGCCTTGTTGACACTGGTTCTCGTGTTGCTTAGACTTGAGTGTACTGTTTACTTTGCTTTCTATATATCTCTGTTACTTCTTGGACTGGCCTTGTGGCCACTGTTGTTTGTGCTCAGACTGTGTGGTGACGTTGTGATCCACCCTGAGCTTCGTTTCTTGGACTGGTCTTGTGACCGTACTCGTTTGGTTTTGCTAGACACCCCTCACTTAGGCTATAGGGGTGTGTCAAATGTTGTAGCCTATAGTGAGGTTTGTCTTAGGAGGTACAAAACTTAGGGTTAGCTATATGTACCCCAACCAACATCAATGCATCATCCATTCCTCATTTTGACAGATACATCAAAAGAGAGACACCATCTACATTATGACACCTAAAACGAGGGGCAGCAGCCCCACAGGTCCCATCGCATCACGCCTAAACCATCTTACTTCTTGAAGTCATCCTTGTCATCCTTGGGAAGTGGGTTGTTCCGCCAGAAGACAGCAAGAGCACTTCCTCCCAGCTGCAGCCGCACAAGGACATAAACACATGGAGTCAGTTTGTTAAGTACTGGATAGCACATCAGCAGCACATTTCACGACAAACAGGCAAACTCCCAAGGCTCCCAAACACCGGATCCCACAATGAATGTTTGAAAACTTACAGCCATGAAGACAACGCTGACAGCAGAAGGAACAGCTACCAGGGGGTTGGAGAAGTGCTTTTGGGCTAGAAGGAACCCAAGAGCCGAGCTCTGAAGCAGCATACAAGGGATTGAGAGAAAAAAGCAGCAACAGATGGGCAGGAATAAGGGAGGAAAATGTTAATAAGACCCGGGCAGTGAGCTGTACGTAGGAGGCTGTCAGTATCACAACAGTAATTAACTCAGCTTCAAACTTTTCTGTGGGGCTCTTTGTTGCACAGCTGACCTACAAACTACACTGAATTGCGTGGCACTTGCACGTGCATCCATCCTGTAACGCTACCAACATGGAGCTCTCACCTGCATGCCGCACTCAATGGAGATGGTGCGGGAGGTGGACTCGCTGAAGTTGAAGGCGCGCGAGAGGAAGTAGCCGAGAGCAAAGGCGAAGGCGTGCAGAGCAGCGACGGGGATGATGAGCTGCGCGCCCTGGGCCTTGAGCACCTCCGCCACCTGACCGATCTGTTGCGGTGGGCAACCGAAAAAGAGGCGATGCAATGGTGATGTGGTGCAAGGATAGGGGTTATGCAGGGGTGAAGGGATGATGCAAGCGAGAGAGGATGATGCAAGGGTGGGAGGATGATGCAAGGGTGGGAGGAGGATGCAAGGGTGGGAGGATGATGCAATGGTGGGAGGAGGATGCAAGGGTGGGAGGACGACGCAAGGATGAGGGGATGTTGCAAGTATCTCGGATGATGCAAGGGAAAGGGTGAGGGGATGTCAGGGTGGCGGAAAGGTAGGGTTCATGGAGGGAAAGCGACCAGCCTAGGCCCGAACACATTTTTTCCGGTGAACAAGAAAGTCGGAAGAGGAGGAAGTAGAGAGAGTGCTATGGATGAGTACCGGGGAGGCGCAGAGCAGGGTGGTGAGAACGACGCCAACAAGCGGCGTGAAGAAGGTGATCTTCTTAGTGATGTCGTTAAAGAACTCGTTAGCGAGGACTGCATTATGAGAGGAAGATAGCAAGAAAAACGATTATGCCATGGCGCTGCACGATGAAACAGTTGCTCCGAGAAGCAAGGATTTCAGTACTACAGTCGATGCACAAGAGTAAGGTGAAACTCGGGTTTCTCACCTCCGCAAATGGTGGGCACAAGCACGACCTGGAAAGTGCTGATGGCCAGACCCTGCAGAAAAGGAAAAGATAGCATTACGTTGAGTTTGCTCTTCAGGCCGTATAGGAACACGCAAACGCATCTTGACGAGGGGAAAAAAGCGCAATGGTGTGGCAATGAAAGGTCACGCGTACCTTGGCGTCGACGGGCACCAGCTGGCCGGCAAGGATCTTGGTGAGGAAGGGCGTCATGAAGATGGCGCCGATGGTGGACGCCCTGTTGTGGCGACAGACCGAAAGGAGAGAGGAAAAAATTGCGCGAGGTTACACGCCTAAACTGAAACCACGAAGGAGGATGCACGTCGGAGAGAGTTTCGAAAGACTGTACACTGGAGACAGACGAGACGGAAAAAGGAAGCAAGGTTATGGGATTAGAGTGGAGACTGACGTGGTCATGAGCACGGAAAGAGCGACGTTGCCGCGAGAGATGTAGGTGGCGACATTGGACGCCTGACCGCCGGGGCAGCACGACACGAGGATGAGCCCGGTGGCAAGAGGGGCGGGGAGCTTCAGCGCCTGGAAACACAAACGAGATTGGCAGGAAGCGAAACAGAGTGGAACGCATTAGGATGTCATGGGACGAGTTTGAGTGAGGAACAATAGATTGAAATTGGAGGGCATTAAAGGCTGAAAAGGATTGAAGCTGCTAAAACGGATGCTTTTAATAGTCAATGTGAGAGTGCTTAGATTATTTATGGTTCAGTTCGTTACCAGAGCAATGGCATAGCCAAGAAGCGGCTTAATGCAGTACTGTGCGATGAAACCGACTCCGACCTGTGAAAAGATTCAACAAAGAGGAACATATTCAGCAACTTAGAGACCAACATTTTGTGGTTGGAACATCGCATTAGTCACTGATTAATTCAGGCGGTCACAGCTGAGGATAAAATGCTTACCGTCCAGGGGTTGCGGAGACAGCGGCGGAAGTCCTCGAAGGTGAGGGTGAGGCCCATGGAGAGCATGAGGAAACCGAGAGCGTATGTGAAGAGGTCGGTTTGCAGCCATGTCACCTGAAAGCAGAACAAAACGAGCACATGGATGTTATTGAAAAAAGCAAATTTGATCCTAAAAAATGCTGAACATTGTCATGGCTAGGAAAAGTGAACGGGCCAGAGGGGTGAAGTAAGGTGAGAAGGCTTACAGCTGAAGGCTTAACGAGACCGATGCAGGTTCCAAGAATGACCTGGATGGAGTAAAGGGCAGCAACAGTGAAACGAAACGAGTACGTAAGAGTTAGAGAGGATTAGATGAATGAATCAGGAATGAAACGCAAAAGAATGACGAGAAAGATAGCTGCTTACCCAGACTGGAAAGAGGGTGGTGAGGGTCTCAATGAACTTCTTAAGGGGAGTTGGGCCCGCGGCAGGGGCAGGGGCAGCACCCTCAGCAGCGTGAGCAACGCTGCAGGGACGGAAAGAAAAACAATGTGCTGTCTGTCAGCGATCCAAAATAGCCATGACCTTACTACATTGTTCCTTTCCTGCATGAAATTGGTCGAATAACTGAATATGCGATATGTTCAAGGCAATGTTTCCCGAGGAGTACAGTCAGCCGTGAAGTTACGTGATGATCGTTAAGTGCTAAGTATGAGTAGTTACATGGACGAGGTGCTTTGTTTAACGAGCTTGGAGGATGCCGAAGAAGACGAGTCCTCGAAGCTGCAACGAGGAGCGACGGGAGCAGCTCGGAGAGCCGGCCTATGAACCGGAGCAGCCAGGCGCACTGCGATAAAGGGAGAGAGAAGCACGGGCTGTTGTTAGAAGCGAGGGAGAGATACAAGACGCTTTGAGAGTAATCAAGGCTGTTGTACAATCAGGCAAATATGGGCGAGCGGTTAAGCGACCATTTTAGAAAGCAATGCGTCGGATGACATTGTGCCAAACGCACCAGTGCTTGTACATCTTGACCTGAGGGTGTTCCCCTGAATCAGTGGGTTGAACACATTCACCCTGGACACGCAGGCGGTTGTGGAAGCCATAGCTGCTACGTGTGTGTTCACAAGTATTCCCTTTTTCAGTGAGCCGGCAGAAATAAGAGCCTCTATGTCCCTGATCTATTCAGACCAGGATGGAAATGAGATGGAGGAGCAATCAATGCTAGAAATGAGCTGATCAGGGAGTGGAGCTGATGGATCAAACCTGACAGGGGAAGTCAAATTTCTTCCAGGAATTAGGGGGAGCAGAGAGAGAGGAGGACGGGGGTGGGGCGGGGGAACGAGTTGAGTTTGCGTTGTGAGGGGGATGATCCCATGAGGAAGGCCCTGATATCTGATCTGATGTCCCCGAGAGAAGTGACGTGGACATTTGAAGGTGGCCAATCATTGTATAGATGGGAGATTGTCCCGCCAGACCTGGTTCCATCTCTAGCGCTGGCGGATCCAGCTTTGGCGGGGAGGCGGGGAAAGACTTGCGCGGGAGGAAGGAAGGGGATGCTGGCAGTCGAATCTCCGCCTTTGGTGGGTTGTCTGGCGTATCGGGGTGGCGGTTCGCTCGTGATGCGAGTTGGGTTGCGCGATCGCACGAGTGGGTGACAGGAGGGCGCGTGACTTTGAGCGGTGATTGATGGAGCACCTGAGATCGAGGTCAGCATTTCCTTCTTTTTGCCACGCACGCTCAAGCTGAGTCAGCAAAGAAGGGTGAGATGGCATCCTAAGGTGCTTTTCGCGTGGGAAAGCGGATGACCAGCTGGTGGATGTTCATTGGCGTGCTGCAACCGTCTCGCGACAACATTTGTGAGATTTGTGTCTAATATTAGCAACCCCACGAAAGCTTAAAGTTGCTTGCAAAGAACATCGAGAGTGTAACAGGTTATTGTTGTATGTGAATCTCACCAGCTGAGGTGAGTTTGGCGCCTGCCATGAAATCAACTATCGTGATCTCCACTGCATTTCTCTCATTGTCAAGATGGACCAGCAGAAACCCGCCAGGTGGTCATGGCAAACGCGGCTCAGCCATATATTCTTCCTCCTGATTCTCCTTCGAGCGCCGTTCTTCGAGTTGAGTTAGCAAGCTCTTTGCAAACTCTCCAAATCTCACTCGATTTTCTCTCCACCATGGCTAATTCTGCCTCTCTCCCAACCTGATCACATCTTGCAGCCTGCCATGCTCCGGAATCCGCTGCAAGTCCCCGCTTGACATAGTCGTCACGGAGCTTCACGCCTACGGTCGAGCTCCTTCCACGTTGCTCCGCTGCCTGCTTTACCCAGGAATTATCGCCCAAAGCTTCCAGAAAACCTTCACCGGGGAGCCGTTCAAGTTACCTGAATGGAACCGCATTTTACAGCCGTTGGATCCGGTCATCGCGAAGGATCCGTATGCGCACTCCTTTCCCACATCCTGGGAGGATTTCAAGGACCAGGACATTGATATGATCGGCGGAAGCTTCCTGGTGGTTGCTGGGGGATTCATGGCCATTTTAGGTCCTTCTGCCGGGGGAACAGTGGGATTGTCGGTGTTGGCGTTCTATGCAATGCGCTCGTCCTGGGATGGAATCGAGGTCAGGTTTTCGGTGCTCTTTCTGCTCGCCTTCTTCTGCTCCCTGGCCTGGATTCCAGTTGGGAAGGCCAAGAAAGGTTGAATTGCAAGTGGAGCCGAAAGTTGGGAAGGAGAATGACAAGGGGGTTGCCCGTGGAGGGAGAGAAGGACGAAGAGGAAAATTGAAGGGAAAGACAAAGGCGCATTAGGGCTGAGAGCCGTCTAGGATGATGATGCATATTGGCATCAATGTAGAATCAGATATGGAACATGGAGAACTTTTATGAGTCAGTACTTGGCAGGTGAACGTCAGCACCTGAGTGAAAATATTTCCAACTACTGAGCAGATTTACCTGGAAGTTTGTCCACCATATCACTGAAGTTTTGGAAATTCTTCGACCAGTAAGCAGCTGATCCCATACTACTGTGAATCGCCTGAACTGAGCAGTCGCTGTTTGAGAATCATGATTTTCGGAAGAGATGTAGAAATCTGCAGCAAAAATCAGCTCCAAGCCGAGCAAATCAGGCCCGGGACAGCATAGATTGATGCTCGACCACTCATCAGACGGTTATCAGCAGCATTTTGACACTGATCAATGGATAAACGCATAACGCGGAATCCGATATGGTATTGACCTTACGTGCATAGATAATCTTAGACTCCTGCGCTAGTCAAGTCCCGTCAACACTTTTTCCTTCTTCTGGTGGGGATTTAATTCCGCATTACGGGACTTCTGACGGGATTCTGCATTGCTGATTACAAGAATTTGAGAAAATGGAGCAGCCAATCAGTGTGCTTATGATAGGCGCTGGCGAGTACACTGTAGGTGAGTTAATCAAATGCTTTCTGTCGTTTTCCACCAGCCATTTCGTTTCTGACTTCCTTTCCTGCTATTGGTTGCGATTCTCGTCAGGGTTTGTACCAACCAAGGAGGGAGCTGCCAGCGACAAGTCTGCTGGGTATGTGCTGGGAAGGGTCACGCTGGAAGTGTGGGAGTGAGGTGAGGGTGAAGTGAGGTTGTTGGGGTGAATTGAGAATGCGGGGCGAAGTGAGAGCGTGAGGGTGAAGTGAGGCGTGCAATGTGAGGTGGGGTGTTGTTGCTAGGTGACTTGGTGTTAAATCAACAACATTCCGATTTCACATCTCCTCACCCAATCACCTGTGTGCATTGTCATCGCCATCACACTGATGGACCTACGATGCTGGGGGAAGGTGCAGCGGCTGCTGCTGTGTTGTGTGACTTGTGAATGATTTCTCATTTGTCATCCACACCACCCAACACTCACTCTTCCCCCCCTCAACCAATCACCTGTGCAGTGTCATCGCCATCACAATGATGGACCTGCGCCAGCTGGGCAAGGTGCAGCGGCTGCTGCTTTGTGAGCTGCGAATCATTCCCCATATGTCATCCACACCACCCCAACACACTCCCTCAACTCACCTGTGCAGTGTCATCGCCATCACACTAATAGACCTCTGCCGGCCGGGCAAGGTGCACCGGCTGCTGCTGTGCGACTTATGGATGACCACATTCTTCTACCACATCCCATATTCCCCCACCACCTGTACAGAGTCATTGCCATCACACTAATGGACCTCCGGCGTCTGGGCAAGGTGCAGCGACTGCTGCTGTGCGACCGATCCGGGCGGCACTTCCCCGCCATCAGAGAGACGCTCAAGAGGAAGATTGCAGACGTTTACCGAGACATGGATGTGACCGTAGAGACTTACCCTGCAGGTATGACTTTTGGCGCAGCTTAAAGGATTTTTTTCCAACCATAAGAGCATTAGCGATCGAATCGTCCCAGGCATCAGTTACATGCGAAGAGGAAGATTGCAGACGTGCATGACTTTTGAGGCACCTAAAAAAAAAAAACTATTGAGGCGCTTAAAAAAAAAACTTTTGCGGCGCCTCAAAAGGCATCAGGTACATGCTGAAGAGGCATCAGGTACTTTTGGCGCTTAACTATTGAAGGCGTGTATGGAGAATGTGACCCAAGAGACTTACCCCCAGGAATGAGTCTTCAGGCTATGAAATGATACCTAACAACTGCAACAGGGATGACAGCCCACTGACGTATCCACCTCTGCTAGTCCATGCGTGTGAATATGTGCGTGAAGTACGTGAGTATGTGGATCCATCTGCGTGTATGTGTGCATGAATGTGCATGTGTCTGCATGGCTTTGCATCTGTGCATGTGTCAGATGATGTACAGGAGGACGAGGCAGCATACCTGGCAGCCATGGCACACATGCAGCCGGGAGACATGGTCACCGTCTTCACTCCCGACAACACACACTACCCCATCGCCCTCGCTGCCATCCAACACGGTGGGTGGTAGCTCTTACCCATTACCACTCTACTGCATGTGTTAGCGGGGGTTACGACACGCACTACCCCATCGCCCTCGTTGCCATCCAACACGGTGGGTCATGTCGTAGATTTGACAAGGGCGAACTCCCCTCACTGCCACATCTGCTAGCTTGGTGCATGCATGTCAGGTGGGATCCAGAGGCAGTGAGCCGGGAGACATGGTCACCATCTTCACTCCTGACAACACTCACTACCCCATCGTCCTCGCACGGTGGGCATTAGCTCTCAACCATTACCACTCTACTGCATGTGTTAGCAGGGGTTACGACAGGAAACCCCATCGCCCTCGCTGCCATTCAGTATGGAGGGTAGTAGGTAGGGAGGACGAGGCAGCATACCTGGCAGCCATGGCACGCATGCAGCCGGGAGACATGGTCACCGTCTTCACTCCCAAAAACACACGCTACCCCATCGCCCTCGCGGCAATTCAACACGGTAGCCTCACAACCCGTTTCCTCCATTTTCAGGTATAACGCCGTGATAACACAGAGCATTGCTTTTGTCATCTTTGTTTGATCTGGGCTCCGTTCTGCATCTCTTCCCGTGCGTCTGTGGTGTTTGTGTCTAACGCCGCGCACCATCGAGGTGACTTTTGAGTCGACAAGTCACTTTGCCCTCTTTGTTTGATCTGGGCTCCGTTCTGCATCTCTTCCCGGGTCTCTCATGTTTGTGTCTCGCGCACCATCGTATTGCCTTCCCTTCCCGCCCCTCTCTCACATACAGGCCTCCATGTGCTTGTAGCGAAGCCAGCAGTGAAGACCCTCCAACACCACCACCACCTCGTGCAAGCAGCAGAGTAAGCTTCTGTCGGCAAGCTGTTGATTCCCCTCAAAAGCCCTAATCACAGCCGAGTAGCTGTTGAGTCACCGGAACAGTCACTGTCGTCACCACCTTGCGCTAACCGCCCAGGGAGCTGCGTCCCTGTGCTCATAGGTATGCGTCTTTTGAGACTTCTCAAAAAGACTTTTGAGTCAACGGAAAAGTCGACTTATGATTCAACTCAAAAGTCACCTCTTGAACCACTCAAAAGCTCGCGCTAACCGCCCAGGGAGCTGACTCCCTGTGTTTATAGGCCCTCCTCCACCCACAGTACCCCTTTCTTGCAGTTCCATTCCTTGTTTCCAATCCAATATCTTTCACTATCCTGAGCCCATCAAGAATAGCTCTTTCCTTCCCCTCTCTGCCCCATTGCTTCCCTTCCTTTGTGCCCACACCTCCCACCGTACTGCACGGTTCTTGCCATGTATTGCATGGTCTGTTCTGCATTGCTCGGTGTGCGTTGCACGCAGAGAAAAGGGTGTGCTGGTGGCAGTTGAGTTTCACAAGCGATTTGACCCCATCTACACAGGTACACGCCGTCCGGTTTGTGACGTGGTAAGAGTGTAGTTTTGAGACGCGTAGTCCAGAGCTCCAGTCCAGAGCTCCTGTGCTGGTTCTCCCGTGCTGGAGCTCACGTGCTGGTGTACATGCCGTCCGTTTGTTGTGTTTCTCAGTCTTACCCTTCATGTTTTTCTCAACACGTCGTTTTCCAGATTCCCATGTTTCAGACGCTCGCGGTCCCATCAGCACGCTCGGTTCCCTGCCCTTTACCTTCTTCTCTTATGAGTCGACTCAAAAAATGTCGTGTGCCATAGTAACGAGGTGACTTTTGAGTCGACTAAAAAAATGTCGTGTGCCATAGTAACGAGGTGACTTTTGAGTCATCTCAAAAGTCGCTCGCTGTCCCATCAGCACGCTCGGTTCCCTGCCCTTTACCTTCTTCTCTTGAATCGAGCCACAAGTCTTTGTGTTTCCATGCTGCCCTGTCACAGACGCGCGCGACCGCATCAGGGGTCTGGGTCCTTTTGCCTTCTTCTCCAGCACCATGACACAGCCAAAGAAGCAGCTGCACACGTTTGCAGGTGCGTTGTGTTCTTATATGAATAGTACGTGCACACGCAGTGCCTACCTGAGGTATGCAAATGTGTCCTTTGAGTCACCATGGATGGCCCCTTTTGTCTTCTTCGCCAGCACCAAGACTCAGCCGAAGAAGCAGCTTTACACGTTTGCAGCTGCGTCTTGTTCACACAACACAATACACACTCCTGCCAATGTGTCCTTTGCGTCGTCAGAGAGCGTTCGTCTGCCTTCTTTGCCAGAACCAAGACTCAGCCGAAGAAGCAGCTGCAAACGTTTGCAGGCGACTCATGAGACACTAAAAAGCGCAACTGAGAAAGAAACAGATGTCCTTGCATTTGCAGCAGCCCTCGATTTCCTAGTCACTTGTAAGTTCTGTCTGTCATCCTTTTCTCTTGATAAAAGAGATTTTTTGAGACGTCTCAAAACATCTCTTCTCCTTTTCTCTTCTTCCCCGTCCCATTTCCCCTTTCCCACGGTATGCAGGCTGGGCTGGCAGGAGCTCAGACATATCCTACTACCTCAACTCGCATCACATAGGTAGGCGTGGTTCATGTGGTGTGAGTTGAGTTAGAACAGTATGTCTGAGCCTTTCAGCAACACAATCCTGGCAGGAGCTCAGACATATCCTTCTACCGCAACTCGCACCACATAGGTGGGTGGGTGAGGCTCTTGGTCACGCACAGTGAGTCGCTTTTTCAGCTACAAAGATCTGCCAGGAGCTCAGACATATCGTTCTACCTCAACTCGCACCACATAGGTGGGCGCTGCCTGTGCACTTCACTTTCATGTCAACTGCTTTGCATTTTGCCTCTTGCAGTTACTGAAGCGTTCCTTTGGCTCTCTCTACCGTTTCTAAAACCATTGTATAGGTATGGCATGCCTTGCTATTTCTAAAACCGTTTTGTGGCCTGAGCACCCTCAGTGTCCTGTGTCCCCACTCGTCTCGCCATCAGAGCGTGTGATATATGCACGCTCAGGGCAGAGAGTTGGTGTGACTTTTGAGAATTATAAAAAGTCGCACCAACGTTTCTAGAACCGTTTTGTGGCTTGAGCACCCTCAGTGTCTTGAGCACCCTCAGTGTCCTATGTCCCCACTCGTCTCGCGATCGGAGCCTGCGATTCCTGCATGCTCAGGGCAGAGATTCAAGGCTCGACCTCCCTCCCACCTGGTCCCCCTCTCTTACTTTCCACCTCTCCCCCTCTTCCCCTCTTCCCGCTCTCCCTCTCTCCCCCCTCGACCCTTCACCATTTTTTCCCTCCTCCTCCCTCACTTCTCCCTTTGTCCCCCCCTACAGACTTCCATGCGTGGGCAGTGCAGGGGCAGTCACGGCCAGTGGTGGTGGTGGCGAGTGCAGCGAGGGGGAAGGCCACCCAAGTGCTGCAAGATGTGCGGGGGGGTGCAGCTGGGTCGGTGGATGTGGAGGATTCAATAACTCTCATGGTGTGTCTCCTGGCTGAGATTTTCTTTCTGCCCTGCTCTGTGTGACTGTCTCCTTGTGTGACTGTGTCCTTGTGTGGCTGTGTCCTTGTGTGACTGTGTCCTTGTGTGGCTGTGTCCTTGTGTGACTGTGTCCTTGTGTGACTGTGTCCTTGTGTGGCTGTGTCCTTGTGTGACTGTGTCCTTGTGTGACTGTGTCCTTGTGTGACTGTGTCCTTGTGTGACTGTGTCCTTGTGTGACTGTGTCCTTGTGTGACTGTGTCCTTGTGTGGCTGTGTCCTTGTATGACTCTGTCCTTGTGTGACTGTGTCCTTGGCCTCTCTTCTTAAGCTGCGCCGGTGTGTCTGTGGGCTGCCTCAGTGTTGCTGGTAGACTGTGTGGAAGTGACTTATGAGAATTCTCACAAGTGGCCAGGCCCCTCGGTGCTGCCGTTTCCCAGTGTCTCTAGCTATGATGTGCCGGTTGGCAGCCATTCCGTTTCACATGCAGGAATGCACGTATTTATTGAACTCCGCCACACACATGGTTCACTGTACTCGGTACAAGCAGGTCCAGTGGCAGAACAAGGGCGGCTCATGCGGCACCGCAGTGTACACTGCAAGCTGGATTGCGCCTCCTTCTGATTGCCACACGCAGCAGCACTTTCACTATATGGGTCACCAGGTATGGCAGGATGTGCATTCAGTGAAACAAGTATTATGTGTGGAACAGTATGTAAAAATTCGACCCTCGTTCTGACTGCCACACGCAACAGTATTTTCACTACATGGGCCACCAGGTATGGCAGAAGTGAGTGGCAATAGCATTCGGTTCAGTTGGGTTGTGTCTAGATTCTTTATTGGCACATGGGATACTGTACACTTCACTCCTTGTAACTGCCACACACAGTAGTACTTTCACACATGGGCCACCAGGTATGGCAGAATGTGCTTGTTGTTTTTTCTGACTATATTTGGAACGGCACATGTGTCACTGTCCCTCCTTCTGACTACCACACACAGCAGCACTTTCACTACATGGGCCACCAGATATGGTGTGGGCCCTCGTGTATGGAATAGGAACTGCTCGGATGCAAGCATGTTTGACTGCCATACTGCACATCCATGCATGCATGTAAACATTTATTCATGTATCATGTATTATGTGTTTATGTATGCATGTACTATGTGTTTGTGTATGCATGTACGTGTGTTTTATGGACGGATGTGTGTTTTATGGACGGATGTGTGCATGGTGACAGGGTGAGGTCCGAGTGGATCAAGCTCACAGAGGATTCACCATGTCAACTGATGCAGCTGGCTTTGCTACACTCAACCCACTGTGCATGAAGGTGTGATTATTTACCTACCGCTTTATCGTGTTCGCTTAACATACACACGAAGGTTTCTTGCTGCGCCACATGCTCATCCTCACTTCGCATTTCCCATTCGCCATTATCTTTTCTCATATTATATCTCCAAACTCATCAGTACACTCCGGACGCAACAGGAAGATTCGCTGGCCAGTTGGGGTATGGTTACCGCAGCATTGCAGATTTTGTTACGGCAGCCCAGTGCATAAATGCGAAGAAGTTCACTGTGGCAGATGTGGAGTCCAATGAAATGATTGCGACCATACGAAGTCCAGCATGCCTCTTAACCACAGTGATTCTAGAGGTATGTAAGCCTCAAATATTTGCTTTCGCACAGAGTGCTTGTTTTTTGAACTGATTTACCCTGAAGTTATTCTTGTTGCTTCAACGCTGCTGTTTTGTGTGTCCTACTCAGGCGGGCAGGAAAAGCCTGGACATGAATGGTGTTCCCGTATCAATAGAATACGACGAAGAGGGAAGGCCTATAACTCTGAGGCCAGCCTCTTCCTAATTGCTTTGCAGAAATTGGCATGCCACCTACCTGAGATCAAAAGTTCTTCGCTCAATTCATAGCGAGTATGAAGTGTAAGCTCATTCTTTCATGTCTAGGCTCTGTGCGGCATCGTGCGACGAAGAAGACATCGAAGTCGTCGAACTGTTCCCACAGATTGCGTTCGATCGTCCAAGCCTGCGGTTCCATTGACGACAACACAGAAGGCACTTCGTGCAGGTAGTCGTCATCCGTCGTGAGTTTCGCATGCTGTGGCCGGGTTACTCGCTGGCGAAGATTTGGCTCCCACCAATCAAATCCCGAGGATCTGTTCTGTTGGGCAGGTTCCCTCCCCGCACTTCTTTCCATTTCTCTTAGAAGAACTTCCTTTTGTAGCACCTGTCAGGTCCTCTTGGCGGTGTACTTCTCTTGAAAGTGTCTTAGTCCCAAGGGCGTGAGATTACTGGCATTCTGATGCGGTTCATTATTAATTTCAATCGGCCGAATAAGGTCTTGGGCGAGAGTGGTGCAGAGGTATGGCTGACTAGTAGTCATTTTTAATCCTCCCTTTTTAGAGACCGGGTGTCACGTCTTTCGTAGTCATATCTCCCATAGTTCGTTCGGCTGCTTACCTGCTGTGGATTGTTCGTCTTTCATATAAGTTTCTCTGGACGTTCAAAGTTTCCCAATTTCAGATCCAGAGGAACTGCGATGTTCGTTGCGTTAGGGAGTGACTAGAAGCTATTTTTGCGAATCCTCACACGACTTGAGATACATCGACGGGCTTATCAACTTTCGTTCGTATCTTGCGTCAACCCTAAAAGTCAGCCGAGCGCTGGCCGAATCGGGCTTGTAACGAGTCATGTAGAAATCCGCATTGATGTAGGCTAGCATCTGTAGTCCTTCACATCAACGGCTACGATGCTTCGTAAAGCAACTACCGCGATGTGGCCTTCGTGGTTATTCTTACCACAGTGTTTCCGTGTCGTCCTTATCATTTCTTTGATCTAGCGATGTATTGACATGCATTCTATCCTAGCCTCAAGATTCCAGTCATCAAGAATCCAGTCATCAAGAATCCAGCCATCAAGAATCTAGAATCCATGCGCGTGCTTCATGAGCACTCTAGCTCGACCTTCCCCGTGTAACTGCTCCTACCGGCCATGGAATCGCCTCCTGTAACGCCGGAGGAGTCGCACATCGTCGCTCACCGATCCTCCTCCTTCACCGCGCTGCGATCGCTCAACAAGACGCAGAAGGCGCAACGTCTCTCCGCGTCGAACGCGTCGCCCGCACCCACCAGGTCCTCCTCCATGAATAACGACAAACGAAGCCTGCCAGGGAGGAGGAAAGCAATGATGGTTCTCTTCCTGGCTGCCGTCTCGATCTCCACCATTTTCGTCGTCAAGGATCTCAGATTCTCCGGCCAGTCGCAACAACCAAAAGGTACGAGATGACTTTTGGGTCGACTTGGAAGTCACCATTTTTGTCAAGGATCTTGGATTCTCCGCCCAGCCGCAAAAACCACAAGGTACTGTTAAGCACCGATTGACTGGGTAATGTGCCTGATGAATTGTTCCCGTCGGCCAAAAGGTAGAACCAACTGATCTGTTGTCCGGATTGCGTTTTCCGCTCCGTTTGGCTCGTTCTTATCTGCCTGTTTGCTCTATTTGAAACAATGTTGTTACAGATTTCTGGATGTTAAGGTGAAGTGCCCCGAGCCTTCGTTTTTTATCCTTCGTGGTTACCCATTCTCCTGTTTCTCCTGTTCGTTCTCCCTTCGTTCTCCGTTCGTTCTGCCGTGTTTCAGTGGACGGCACGAAGAGGGTCGGTGTGCTGGATGACGCAGGTCCTCTAATGACCGTGGATTCGCCATCGCCTGCACAAACGGACGGCGGAGATTCCTTTCCAGAGACTGGGGGGACGAATTCAGAATCTGGTCTTGAGAGATTGCCATCCGCCACCGAACAGTCACGTGTGTTGACGGATGGCAGTCAGAGCGAGCAGGTGCCTGCTTTTCACGCTTCGGTTCAGAACGGTGTTGGCCATTCTCCGCCTGCGGGAGACGGGGAAGGGGACGGCGAGGTTGTGCATGATGCCTTGGGGGGAGAGAGTGCCGGGGGGGGACAGGATGAGCTGGAGGGTCAAAGTGCTTCGGGGGAGCAGAATGAGCTGGGGGGACAGGGCGTTTTGGGGGAAAGGATGTTTTAGGTGTGCAGAACGGTTTGGAGGCGCAGGATGCGGCGAAGGAGGAGGGGGTTGAGATCGAGACGGAGGCTAGAGTGTATGAATTACGGGAGAAGAAGAGGAAGAAGAAGAAGCGGAAGGAGAAGAAGCCGAAGAGGGAGAATCGACCGAAGAAGAGCAGAAGGGGGATGCAAGTGCGCGCGCCTGCTCCTCCCCCTCCCCCTTCTCCGCCGCCCCCCCCTGCGCAGATCAACCCTTTGGATCCTGTGCTCCCCCCGTCGCATCCCTGCGCCAACTTCACCCTCCCACCGCCTTCCACCGACAGGAAGCGCACTGGACCCAGACGTGAGTGCCTGGGTTAACTATTCAAATAGACCGTGAGTGCGTTGGGTGATAGCAAACCTAGACGTGAGTTCTGAGGGTAACCACTGGGCCGAGACGTGACAAACCCACCCATGCAACCCCCCACCTCCCCTCAGACCCCACCTGCATATGAGCCACCTGCCGCACCACCTCCCTCCCTCTTCCATCCTGCCCCTTCCCCCCCCCCCCTCTCCGGCGCCCCCCTCCCCCCCCCCCCCCCCCCCCCCCCCCTCCCCGCCTGTCCCCCAACCCGCCTGCCCCGTGTGCTACCTGCCTCTGCCAGACGCCATGGCCATGCGCACCCCCCCGCGGGCACGCGGATGAGCCCATTCTGCAGCATCTCGCGTACGTGACAGAGGACGACGCCAGGGAGAGGGCCGCCAGGCGCACACCCACACACAGACGTGCCTGTTTTCCTCCACACCCCTCTCTCCCCCAGCCTGCCCCGTGTGCTACCTACCGTTACCTGACGCCATGGCCATGCGCCCCACACGGGGGCACACAGAGGAGCCAATTCTGAAGCACCTGGCGTATGTCACAGAGGACGACGCCAGTGAGCGCGCTGCCAGGCGCGCGGGCAACCGGCCGCGGTTCAACGGGCACCAGTCGCTGCAGCAGCGGGAGGACTCGTTCAAGATTCAGGAGAGCATGCGCGTGCACTGCGGGTAAGTGAGGCAGGCAGGGGGGCAGCGGGAGGATGGAGAGGTGGAGAGGAGAGGAGGGGCAGGGTGAAGAAGAATTGGAGAGGATGGGTCAAGTCCACAATCGCTCACTGGTGTGATTCTACGGGCACCAGTCGCTGCAGCAGCGGGAGGACTCGTTTAAGATTCAGGAGAGCATGTGCGTGGACTGCGGGTGAGTGAAACAGCGGGGGGGGGCGGGAGGGGGGGGGGGAATGAACGAGTGACACTCAACGGCCGCGGTTCAACGGACACTAGTCGCTGCAGCAGCCGGAAGACTCGTTTAAGATCCAGGAGAGCATGCGCGCGCACTGCGGGTGAGAGAGAGAGAGAGAAAGGGGTGTTGGAGGGGAAAGGGGAAGGGGCGGGTGATGCTGGCGGGTAGGTGCTGGGGTGAAGAATGGAACAGGCTTTGTTGCGTGGCACGGCAAAGTGAGCAATGGCATGGGCTTGGCATTTCGAACTGAAATGCAGTGGCCCATCCAGCCATCCCCTTCCCCCCCTTGCTTCCGCTCCTCTCCCTCCGCGTCTCTTCCCCACCCCACCCCTCTGCTTCAGCTTTGTGTGGCACGGCAAGGTGAGCAATGGCATGGGCTTGGCAATTCGAACTGAAAATGCAGTGGCCCATCCAGCCATCCCCTTCCCCCCCTTGCTTCCGCTCCTCTCCCTCCGCGTCTCTTCCCCACCCCACCCCTCTGCTTCAGCTTTGTGTGGGGCGGCAAGGTGGGCAACGGCACGGGCTTTGATGTGTCGGATTGAAGAATTATTCCGGGCATTCATTCCCTTATGTTTCCCCCTTTCAACCCTACTTTCAACTCCCTCCAGCTTCGTGTGGGGCGGCAAAGTGGGCAACGGCACGGGCTTTGATGTGTCGGATGATGACAGGCGGTTCATGGAGCGGTGCTATGACATTGTGGTCGTCTCTGCCATCTTTGGTGAGTGCTATATGTGGCACATAAGAGCAGAGCATGGTCACTTGTGTCCGGGTAGTGCGTGGTGAGTGACGACAGACGCTTCATGGAGCGGTGCTACGACACCGTTGTTATCTCCGCCATCTTTGGTGAGAGAGTGCGGTGTGGTATGGTGTTGCCTGGGTTGCGTGTGGTGAAAGAGAGCAGGCGGTTCATGGAGCGCTGCTACGACATCGTGGTGGTTTCCGCCATCTTTGGTGGGAGTGTGCTGTGAGAAGAGTGGCATGGCGTGGCATGGCGTGGCACGGTGTTTTATGTGCTGAGTGTGGTGAGTGGGAGCAGGCGCTTCATGGAGCGCTGTTATGACATTGTGGTCGTCTCGGCCATCTTTGGTGAGAGAGTGCTGTGAAAAGCCAAGCAACGGGAGCGAGGAGGCGAAGCAGCAGCGGTGCTCCTCGCCCTCCAAATTTTCCCCTCCCATCTACCCCCCCAATACCCCCCTCCCCATGCTTCCTCTCCTGCTCACCAGACGCGTATGACGTGGTGCAATAACCGAGCAACGTCAGCGAGGAGGCGAGGCAGCAGCTGTGCTTGGTGATGTTTGTGGGCCACACGACTTTCACCCACCTCTTCCCACCACCCCTTCCTGCCCTCCCACCCACCGACATGTCCGTGTGCTTCCTCTTTCCAACCAGGCGCCTATGATGTGGTACAACAACCAAGCAACATCAGCGAGGAGGCGAGGCAGCAACTGTGCTTCGTGATGTTTGTGGATGAGACGACCTTCAACGAGTTCATCCGCGATGGCACTCTTAAGCAGCCGCGCACCCGGAGAGTGGGGCTGTGGCGCCTCGTGGTCGTGCATAATCCACCATACAGAGACCCCAGGCGGACCGGCAAGGTGAGGGCGAGTTGCAGGTAGGGTGATGGTAGAGTGAAGGAGCATAGGAGCAGTTGAAGGGGCTGTGCTTGGTGATGTTTGCTTTGTGATGTTTGTGGACGAAACGACCGTCAGCGAGTTCATCCGAGACAGCACTCTCAAGCAGCCGCGCACACGGAGAGGCAAGGTGAGGGGAGGGCGAGTAACGGGATGGATGTACAGTGATGGTAGAGTGAAGGAGCAGCGTTAATGCAGGATGTGGCAATAACACCGAGTTTTGTTGTTGGAGAGGTCATTGGTGCTCTTGAAAGGCTGTCACTTGGAACAAATGCGATTGAGGAGACTATTTAAAAAAGTCGAGTTATCGTTACAACTGCCTCTTTAATCGCATTTGTTCCAAGTGACATCTTTTCAAGAGCGCCAATGGCATCTCCAGCTACAGGGCTCGTTGTTGTTCCCACAACCTGCACCAAGCTGCTAATCCACCGCCTCTTCCCCAACTTGCAGTTCTCCATGTGGGTGGATGCCAAGCATGGGGTTAACAGTCCCTTCCCCCCGCCTTTTTTTTTTAGGTTGATTTTGAGAATGATTTTTTAGGTTGATTTTGAGAATTCTCAAAATCAACCTAAAAAAAAAAGTGGGTGGATGTTGGGCCTGGGGTTAACAGTCCCTTCCCCCCGCCTCTCTCTCCCTCCTCAACATCCTCTCTCCCCCCTCCCTCACCTCCCCTTTCCGCCCTCTCCTCCTGATCCGCAGATCCCCAAGCTGCTCATCCATCGCCTCTTCCCCAACGTGCAGTTCTCCATGTGGGTGGATGCAAAGCTGCAGCTCGTGCAAGACCCCTACATGATCCTTGAGAGGTATGCGGTGCGGTGTGGTGCGGTACAGTGGTGTGTAATGTGGTGTGGTGTAGGGTGGTATGGTGCGGTATCCCTGTGCTATGATATGTGGGTGGATGCCAAGCTGCAACTCGAGCAGGACCCTTACGCATGATTCTTGAGAGGTACGCTGCGGTGCTGTATGGTGTGGTGTGGTACGGTCTGATTTCTTCAGATTTCTGTGGCGGGGCAATTTCTCCTGGGCGATCTCGAAGCACCACAAGCGACCCGACGTGTTTGTGGAGGCGGAGGCGAACAAGGCTCACACATCCACTTCCACACATCCTCACCCATCCCCACCCCTGCACACTCCCTCCCGCTTCAGGTTCCTGTGGCGCGGCAACTTCTCCTGGGCCATATCGAAGCACTACAAGCGGTTTGACGTGTTTGTGGAGGCGGAGGCCAACAAGGCGGCGGGGAAGTATCGCAACGCGAGCATCGACGAGCAGATGGAGGCGTACCGGAGTGACGGCATGACTCCCTTCTCAGAGGACAAGATGCCCATCATCAGTGGTGGGTGCCTGGTTGTGGTGATGGGTGCATGAAAGATGGGTGCTTGACAGATGGGTGCATGACAGTGGTAGGTGGTAGGCGTTGGGAGGCCAACAAGGCGGCGGGCAAGTATCGCAACGCGAGCATTGACGAGCAGATGGAGGTGTATCGTAGCGACGGCATGACACCCTTTTCAGAAGACAAGATGCCGATTATTAGCGGTGGGTGCTGGGTAGTAATGGGTGCATAGGTGTCCTGAGATCTCTCAGTGTTGGAGCATCGGCGAGCAGATGGAGGTGTATCGTAGCGACGGCATGACACCCTTCTCGGAGGGCAAAATGCCCATCATCAGCGGTGGGTGATTGCTTGCGAGTGGGTGGCTTTGAGTCCCCTCGGAATGCAGATGGAGGCGTATCGCAGCGACGGCATGACGGCCTTCTCGACAGACAAGATGCCCATCATCAGTGGTGGGTGGCTTTTGGATGCTTGGCTAGCTGGCTGGCAGTGGTGGGTGGCTTTTGGATGCTTGGCTAGCTGGCTGGCAGTGGTGGGTGGCTTTTGGATGCTTGGCTAGCTGGCTGGCAGTGGTGGGTGGCTTTTGGATGCTTGGTGGTGGGTGGATTGGTGGGTGGGTGGCTGGGTGGTTGGCGCGAGCACATGGCACTGAGCAGCCTCATGGCGGGCCTCATGGCGTGCCTCATGGTGGGCCTCATGGCGGGCCTCATGGCGTGCCTCATGGCGGGCCTCATGGCGTGCCTCATGGTTTAACGAGTCATCCACTGCTTCACGTGTGTTCATCTGTCCCTTCCTCCCTTTTCACCCCCTTTTTTACCACAGACGAGCACGAGGGGTGTGTGATAATGCGCGAGCACACGGCGCTGAGCAACCTGATGGCGTGCCTCTGGTTCAATGAGGTGGATCGATTCACGTCCCGCGATCAGCTTATCATGTCTTCTCCCCTTCCATCCTGCCACCCACACATCCCAAACAGATGTTACAGACTGGTGTGGCATCATGTGCACTCAGCAACCCACTCAACCCCAAACCCTCTCCGTTTCTCCCCTGCCGCCATCCGCATTTTACACCACAGACGTGCCCGAGGGGTGTGTGATAATGCGCGAGCACACGGCGCTGAGCAACCTGATGGCGTGCCTCTGGTTCAACGAGGTGGATCGCTTCACGTCCCGCGGCCAGCTGAGTGTATGTTACTCTGTCCTTTTCTCCTCTGATCTCCCCGTCCACACAACCCCAACCAGACGTCCCTGAGGGGTGTGTGATAATGCGCGAGCACACGGCTCTCAGCAACCTCATGGCGTGCCTCTGGTTCAATGAGGTGGATCGATTTACGTCCCGCGACCAGCTCAGCTTTGGGTACACACGCGACAAGATCTGCCGCAGCGTGCCCGCCTGGCGCCTCAACATGTTCCTCGACTGCGAGCGCCGCAACTTCGTGGTTCAGGTCGGTTCTCTGCGGTGCAGGTCCGTGGTTTGCAGTGCAGGTCGGTGATTTGCGGTGCAGGTCGGTGGCTTGCAGTGCAGGTTGGTGGCAGTGCAGGTTGGTGGTTTCGTTCAAATGATTGCTTTGTGGTTGAGGTCAGTCCTCTTGCTCACTCCTCTTCTTTGCTTGTCGCTCTCACATACAGTCGCGCGTTGTCTCACAAACACAAGGACGTGCTAATTCAGAAGCTCAATGGCTTCTCCTGCTCGCTCCCCTTCACCGTGTTCCTTGTGGTGCTGTGCTCCTCACCCGCCCCCCCCTCCCCCCCACCTCCCCACCCTCCGCTCCCCTCCCCTCCCCGCCCCTCCTCTCTACAGGGATATCACAAGGACGTGCTATTTCAGAAGCTCAATGGCTCCTCCACCACTCCTGCTCTCGCTCTCCCCACCGCCTCAGCCACACCTACTTCAACAGCTGCTGCTGCTGCTGCTGCTGCTGCTGCTGCTGACAATGCTGGTGCTGGTGCCGCTGGCACTAGTGGCTCCTTTTCTGCTGCATCTGGTGCTGCGACTGACTCTGACCCTAATCCTGCTTTTGCTGGTGCTTCTGCCAGTGCTGGTGTGTTTTTTAGAGTGCGGCAGCGGGAGGAAGGTTCCATTCAGCAGCTGCAGCAGGAAGGGCAGCATGTTGAGGAGGGGGAGAAGGGGGAGGAGGAGGAGGACAGTGACGAGCAGGAACAGGAAAGAGGCAAAATTGAAAGAAGGCTATTGGGGCTTGGAGGGGAGAGGGAGGCGGAGAGGGGATGGGAGGGGGAGGAGAGTTGGAGGAAGCGTGACTTTGGAACCAGAGATATTCGATGGGGAAAAAGGTGGAAGGATGTAGATATAATGAGCGAATTGGAAGGGGAAGAGTATGGGCTAACACGAGGATCCAGGTCGTAGAGCTGAGACTTTCGGCTTGAGGAGCTGGAGTTAATGTGCCAACATGTTGAGCCAAAATTGCGAGGATTGTTGCTTGTTTTGGAATGCATTAAGGGCTTCCCCTTGCAAGGCTGAAACAACCACGCATGAAAGTGAAATAGGAACATGCAATCTTGAGATAGATGATGCCGTACGCCATAAACTAATGTGTTGACTGCGTTTATGTTATGTCCCGACCAAGTACCAAATACCTTGTGCAGATTTCTTAATGTGGTGTTAGGTTATTTTGAAATTTTTGTACATGAGTTTCCAATATTTTGATTTAGCATAGAAGGCAGGACTCGTAGAGAGCAGCATTGTACGCACGCACACAACCGCTTTTGAAGAATAAATACACCTGCTCTCCGATATCTTAACTATCTTTAATTTTACACCGCGCTTCGGTGTCACTTCGTGGTCCTCAGCCCAACTTTCTTTGGAGCCGAGCTGCCAAAGTGTGGTTGAACTTTGGGTGACTTGGATGCTTGAGCTTCTGGTGTTTCAGGGTGTCCTCGGATGGTGGATTTCACATTCGTGTCAAATTAACAAAATCTTACAGTTTCAGTTATGTCTTGTACCAAAATTATTGTAACGCTTGAAGGGCGGACACAAAATTCTCAGAATCAAACATAGACGAGGCCCTGATTTTGTTTAGGGTCATTCTGACCATGCGCAACCCTGACGTGGTCATTTCGCAATGGCTCGACAAATTTCCTGAGATCGTCGTGCACTTTTTGTCCATGTCAGCAGCAGTCTTTGCGGCTGGAGTGTGAAATTAAGGGGGACTTTGCTCCTGTATTTTTACGACCTCTCAGGAAAACGTTTTCGCGATTCGTGAATGTCACCCCGCGATATTGTCGGAGGACAGGTGTAGCACACGGCTGTGGTGCGCGGGGAAAGGGGGTTGGCGTGACGTGGGTAGTTGTTTGCATGCATGCACATGATGCCCAACCAGTGCACGCGAATTTGCATTGCGCCAGATGGAAACGCTGCACCCGAGGTTTTTTCCCCAGCCTGTTGCACCCACGTTACAAGCGCGTCGCGTGGTTATCAACCAATAGTAACGAACAGACCGAAGTCAAGCAGAAGAGACTGAAGTCAAAATGTCAACGGATAAGGTTACAGATCTTGTATATAAGCACCTGCGAATCCTTTTTAGCTAGCTGCGAATTGACGAAACTTATGAGAATTTCTCGTTACGCCCCCTTCACAAGGCAACCGGGAGGGGCTCAAACAGGCATCAATTGTACCATCCATCTTGTGGACAAGGATTTCTAACCGTAAAAAAAAAGTATTGACCGAGGCAATTGTACCGTGCCGCCTTCACTAGGGCGGATGGCGACTGGAACTGTAGGACGAAGGAGGACGGAATGGAAGTCCTTTCCTACAGCAATCTTGCTGCCCAGACGGGAAACGAGTTGCTGGAGCTGTTCCGCTTCCCCGTGTACTAGGTGTACACCTACACTTACATACGTGTGCCTTCGAAGCAACCTGATATGTGTACATGGCTTCTTGCTTGTCGCCATGTCAGCGGATTGGTTTCAAATCGGTTGACGTGGCATACGGTTTGTGGCTGAAAAGCAGGTTCATCTGTACATTTTTACAGTTCGTCGTTTCATTTATGGTACATTTGTAGTATGACAGGTTCGCTCCTCATGACATGACATGTGCGCACCAGATTTCGTACACGATCACACGTAGCCTTGGAAGGTTTGTGTACACACGGCCCTCGCCAACTTCAATCCCACCATTTTCACCCCCTCCTCTGTCGTGACTCGAGGAGTCTGGGTAGGGTGCTGCCTTTGGTTAACACATCTGACGTGTCTATGCACGTGCTCAGCTCGAGCTCCAAGGTCAAACAATGACAGGTCATCTGCACGAAGGAATCCAGCAAGGCCAGTGCACCTCGCCATCCCACATTTCTGGCGGAGTGCATAATCGCAAGAATGCAGCTAGAGGGGGGTACCACATCTACATGTCAGCTCCAGAGTGGTCCAGAAATCCCCCACAATATGGGGAAATGCATTCGAACCAGTAATTGGTGTTACAAACTGCCACGAAGCATTACTTTCCCTGCCAACCACAACCACAATCCACAGGTTGAACCGAGTCGCCAATTCCTACTGCCACGTAAGATGCGGTCTTGATCACTTTCCACATCATGCGGTGAGTATGGCACACACTGCACGTGAAATTGGCCGCAAATGCAAAGTTGCGGCCAATTTCACATACCTGGCACTTGCGACAAGCGTGCCACCCGCCCCCGCCAACGTGAAATTGGCGAGGGCGCGGTGTACACTGTGCCATGCGAGACTTCATGGAGCGAAGCGGCAGTAAACGGAATCACAATGCACCCTGAAAGTTGACAAACACACTCGTACCACTGGCATTTCGTGTTCATTTTCACCAGCTGTGTTTCTACAGTATTTGCGGGCGAAGTCTTATCCTCCCTCAGCCTCACGAGGTCAAATTCACAACGAACTCACACCGCCGAATTTTAGAGCAGGAACGGCCACCTACCAGGACCCAGATTTCCTATATCACGATCGGGTTGTGAGTTCCTCAGGGAAGCCCTATGGAGAACAACGAGTGGAAATAATGTTGAGGACTCTGGATGTGTGGCTCTAACCAAATGCACCAGATGGGTGGCAACTCAAGATAGACCTTGAGATTCGAGGGGTAAGGAAGTTTGCGCTACACCCAACAAGCCACCAAGAATGTGCGCAGGAAAGAGCCCTCGTTCCAATCTTCATAAGTGCGAAAACGATTCCCCAATGATGACGGAGATTCAGCGGGTTCTCGGTGTGCTGCTGCTGATGTGACTGAGGTAGGTGGGCGAGGGGGAAAGGGAAGTTCGGGAACGCAAGAGCGGAGAGGGGAAGGGGGAAGTGGTGGTGGGGGGGGGGGGGGTGAAGGGGAAGAGAGGGAAGGAAGGAGAATAGATACAGTACACTGTAATGATAAACTGGCGTTCTGTACCCATATCATACAAGACAGAATCAGTGCTGATTTTAGAACGGTCGTTGGGTTTGATGCTTTCGCGATTTTCGTGCTGAGAATTCCCCAGTGTAAGGAAGATAACGGAAGTAACCGTCTTCGGGGTGTAAACAAACCACGGTCCTCTCCAAAATAAGCTGGCCGAATTCCGCCCACGAGATCAAGGGACTCGGGCACAATCGTTGCGGTTGTTGGTTTGGGGAGGGAATAATGTTGGGGCGGGGTATGGCTGGACTTTACAAGGGCTTTATACAAACAGTCACAATCAAGGGTGCGCTATCACAAAAAGTTGTACGGCTATCACAAACGGTCACTCAGTATCACGGATAGTCACTCGTCTCCCCTCAATGTTATCACGAATGGTCACTAAAAGTAACGACTGCCCAAAAGTTGAAATCCTCCCCCCCACGATGTCACACTGTTGCGACAATGTCACTCTGTTGCGATTTAGGGACTATTATCGCGTGTATTTCGTTTGTCTTTTATCGCGTAGCACTGTTCCAAGCATTTATAGGCGAAAATATCCTAGGCGAGGCCTTTTCAAACCTAGCTGAGGAACTATTCTTAGGTTACACACTGTTCAAATAGCCACAACTATATTAAACCACATGAGGAAGTTAAAGTTAAAGTTATATTTTCTGGTCGTAACCAGTTACAGGGGTATCCATTCCTAGATGAGCACGTACTGGCCCCTACTTGGGGTCTGGCAGAACACGCCTGCACGGGGGTGGGTTGGGTTCGATCCTAGGACCTCATCTATCGGAAGTGCCTCAATCTACTGACTAGGCCAATTCTGGATTAAACCACATGAGGAATGTATTTTAAGGTCTCACAAAAACAAGACGTGCCAAAATTTATATACGGTCATTTTGATGGATATAGTTTAGGGAAATCATGTTCCAAGCTTGGAAAATAATTTTAATTATTGTAGGGCAAGGTTGTCGGACTGCATCTATTTATAAAACATTGACATATATATAACATGTTTTTTCCTTGAAAATTCCACCCTGAGAATAGTGAAGTAATGACAAATTTTAAATTTCTATCATTTGCATAATAGGAGTATATACAAAGTCGGTATTTAACAATAACAACATATGAATTTAGTGAATGAATGCAAATAAATAAAAAAAACCACAGTGGAATGACTAGGGATTTAATTCTTGATTGCTTGCGCATTATGGTTTTTTTCTTATTGGAGGTTAAATGAATCCCTTAACAAACAAATTCTGTGTAACAAAATACAAGTTACTCAGTTTGGTTTGAAAAGGCTTCGCCTAGGATGTTCTCACCTTTTCACGCTTGAAAAAGTCCTATGCGAAAAGTCAAACAAAATAAACGCGCTACTAGTCCCAAAATCGCAACAGTGTGACATTGATGGATGGGCGGGCGTTTCTTTTAGTGACCATTCGTAATACAGTAACATTGTAGGGCGACGAGTGACTATCCGTGATAACAGATAGCTTCGCCCGTTTCAGTGATCGTTTGTGACAACCGTTTGACTTTCGTGATAGCGCGGCCTTCTTTTTGGACTTTTTGTATAATAACCTGACGTTACAGCATTCAGAAACCCAGCCAGGGGGGGGGACGCTAAAATGTCCTGCTTAGCTCGCGGCAAAAATCTCCTGGTTGTCGCGCGGCCGCAACATGCCCAGCCACCCAGGAGGACGCGCACAGCTACACTCTATTCGCGATAATTGCACACCCCTACCTTCTTTTTTGAAGGTGCCCTATACCGATTCAGGCTCGATATGACGGACACCCTGAAACTCAAGGACTATCAGTCGACAGCGAGATGCAGTTTCCCTTGAAATTACACCATGTGTTCCGAGTGAGGACGGGGTTGGGTAGGCACGACTGAAGTTTTTAATGCTTACGACTATTCGCGACTGGGTTTCGGAACACCCACCAGCTGTTCAATATTCGCAGCGAACTACCCTGCAATAATGTTTGTATTCCGGGTATGTACACCCAGGGAGTACATTTAAGGGGTGTGAAATTATCGCGAATAGGGTGTAACTGGCAAACTGGCATCCCAGGCGTGGCCCAAACTGCCGGTCCCAAACCCAAACCAAGAAAAATCCGAACCTGATTCGTCTTCTTGCCGCTCCTCTTGATTGACGAGGGTTTCGCTGCGATGGCCCGGTAAAGAAATGTTCTTCCATTTCCGGCTGATCCGAAGTCGATTGTTAGAAGAAATCAGAAGCTGCAACTGGCTCTTTCAACTTGAAGCGAGTCTTGTGATTGGTCCCACCGCAAGAACTTAGGACTACAAACATCCTAGCCGCGTTCAACGGGAAAAGTGCTGTGAATGCGGCAATCCCATTCGAGTCGGGAGTAGCCGTGCCAAATGCGTTAGTACACGGGAAACTTTTGTAACTGTCTGAACTCACGATATAGTACCGCGAATGCGGATACGGAAACGGCTCGCTCAAATAGCCGCCGCCAGCGGCGGGGTTTACTACAACCCCAGTGGCAATGGCGCCATTGCAGCCTGCAACACTCGCGATATTTCATTGCCGGCGAATCGAATTCCGGCGGATCGGAAAGTTCCGCTGGAAGCAGCAGCGCGCGTTCGTTTGGAAAACCATAGCTCTTTTCAATACGACGTGGAGTCAAATCTGCAGGAATGCGGCGCCGTCTCTGATAAGCAGCACCGTGGATTGAATATATCATCTCACGACCAGACATCAAAATCGCGACTCCCGCCGCCACCGCCAGCATGCCATGATGGTGGTAGCAACTCAGTAAAGCCCACGATGATGCTTCGCCATCATCATCATCATTTTGCGTCGGGCTGCTCCAGGAACCTCGCGGACGTCACTCTTCCACATGCTCCGACTCGGCGGCAGAGCGGGTAAACACCTCAGTGTTAATGTCTTTTGAGACGTCTCAAAAGTTCTCCGAGTCGGCGGCAGGGTAAACACCTCAGTGTAAATGTCTTTTGAGACGTCTCAAAAATCCTCCGAGTCGGCGGCAGAGCGGGTAAACACCTCAGTGTAATGTTGCAGACGAGAACACCAGATTTGATCCTCCCTCTGACTTCCTTTCTTAGGGAATCTCGAGGCGCGCCGCTCGGGATGTATCAAAGATGTTTTCCAAACGGCTCGGATGCTTTGCAGAGTCTGCAAACGCTTGAATTTAGGCGGCGAGGGAAATCAAGTTGGGTTGGGTGGAGGTGGGAGCAGGGGAGGGAAAAGTTTGCTCAGTAATGCCACCCAGTAAGGCTATTGCCACATTTGAGCAGAAGATACGTGCTGCACCATGCCTTGCACCATGCCTTTGCCCCACTGCTCTCCCCCGCTGTGTTGGGGGTTTTGGGGTGCAGAGGAGTGTGTCACGTTAAGAAGAGTGTGTCTTGAACAAGAGTGTGCCGCTGTGTGGTGAACCGGAGGTCTGAGGACGCTCTTTTCGCGTGTGACCTGGTCATCGTGCTTCTTGCTTCTTTTCTCAACTCCCTACCCACATGATGACGTCTCACACGACGGCATTTGTGAGACGTCTCAAATGTCGACGTCTCAAATGTCGACGTGATTCTCCTTGCTCCTTTCTTAACGACCTGCCATCATCCACATGATATAAACCCGCAGAAGCTCTAGTTTTGCGTCGACTCAAAACCCGCAGAAGCTCTTGCTCATGCAGAATTGGACTGCATCCAAACAATATCACTTCACGGCCACGGGGGCCACGGGGAAACATGCACATCTCCAACCATCGTGGTACCGATGACTCCCCTCTTGTAGATCACCCCGCATAGATCCGGAAATACTCATTGACAACAGAGGAAACAACACCACACAAGAGGTTGCTGCTCAAGCTTAGTAGTCGTGATTTCATGTTTCTCACCACCATTCACTCGGTATTTTCCCTCCTTTCATCTTTGCACGCCCCTCCAGCTGCAGCCATGGCTGAGTATCAATATCATCATCATCACCACCACCAGATTCTTCATCACCTCAAGGACTTACCGTGGTCAATTGAGGGCCCCAGAAAATGTCTTGCCCTTACGGTGTTACAATCTTCTCCGTTTTTCCTGACGACCAACATCATCACCACCACCATCATCACCACCACCACCATCACCATCACCATCACCACCACCACCACCATCACCACCACCACCACCATCACCACCACCACCACCACCACCACCACCATCACCACCACCACCACCACCACCACCTTTTTTCAGGCTTCTGAAGAAGGGTTATCGTTATCCACAGTGTGTTCCCAACCCCCTTCCTGTCGCCCAACTGCGCCCCTCCATGTGCAGGCACAATGATCACCATCGCCATCGTCACCACCAACGCCACAAGAAGAAGTGCTTTGGTTGTTGTGTTTGGCCTCCAAAAAATACGAGTCTTTCTTCTTTCGCAGTCTGTTGCACCCCATCCCCTGCTGCCCTACTGCGCCCCTCCATGTGCGGGCAGGCACGATGATCACCATCGCTATCGTCACCACCAACACCACAAGGGCCGTGCTTCAAATGTTGATCTCGGCCTCCAAAAAAAAAAAAATCTTTCTTCATTCACAGTCTGTTCCACCCCTTCCGCTGCCGCCTTACTTCGCCCCTCCGTGTGCAGGCAGGCGCAATGATTATCATCACCATCGCTGCCTCATGTGCTGTGGACTATGTTGTTTTCACTTTTGAGAATTCTCAGAAGTGTTTTCGCCCCTTCATGCGCAGGCAGCCACGATGGTTACCATTACCATCACCATCACCACCACCATCACCACCACCATCACCACCAGCGCATCACCACCAAAAGTGCTGTGGACTTTTCCTGAGGCTCTCCGGAACTGAAACTAACTGACTGACATTCGGTCTTACCCTGTCCCTCCGCGTGCAGGCAAGATGGCCAGTGACCACGACCATCATCATTACCACCACCACCATCTTGACCATCATCACCACAAGTGCTGCAACAATTCGGCCTGCCATGTCCCCCTCTCATGACCCCTTCTTATGCCTGTCTTCCGCCTTACCATGTCCCTCCATGTGCAGGCCTGACGACCACCAACATCATCACCTTCATTATTATCACCACCACCAGTGCTGTCCTGATCTCACTCGTGCGTGCCATGACCCTCTAAGATGCCTGTCAACCGACCCTCACAACTCTGTAGCAGCCGCTGCATCGAGAACGTCTGTTGCATCAGCTTTGGCAAACTTAGCAGCCACTCCAGCAGCAGCAGAGGGACCGCCGCCACCATCATCACCAGCAGCAGCAGCAGCAGCAGCAGCAGCAACATCGGCTGGAGCAGCATTAGCAGCAGCAGCATCACCACCACCACCAACAACAACAACGACAACAACAACAACAACAACAACAGCAGTAACAGAGTCAACCGCAGCAGCAGCAGCAGCAGCAGCACCACCACCACCATTTCAACCAGCAACACTAACAGAGTCAGCTGCAGCAGCAGCAGCAGTATTTGAGACAGCAGCATCACCACGATTACCAACACCTGCTACAATGGAACATCCAGGGCCACGGCTACAAATGTTGCCTCAGAAACCGATACAGCCAACCCAAGCAGATCCTTTTGGGGCAGAAACTCAGCACCGTCAGGCAGCTATAAAGCGCAGAGGGGGGCGCCCACGGCGGGTCAACATGAAGTTTCTTAAGGACCTTGTCTCATCCGAGCCTCCGTCACCCGAGCCTGCGTCACCCGAGCCTGCGTCACCCGAGCCTGCATCACACGAGCATTCCCCACACAAGCCTCCTTCACACAGGCCTGGCTACCGCAAACCCCCCATACACGAGCCTAAAATTAAAATCTCTGCAGGTTCGGCAGAAGCTCCGGCGGTCCAATCCCCAACAACCAGGAGGCATGGCAGATCAGGAAAACGCCCTCCCATTAAAGCGCTTCAAAGTGAGGCACACACCCCACCGCCCGTGCCACCCTCGTCCCAGCAGCCTGACAGAGGCACACCTAGCAAGCGCCCACGAAGCCACAGAACCAGAGGCCCGAGCAGCTGTCACAGCCATGGCAGAACAACCCAGGCGCTGCTTTCCCCTTCTTCTCAGTCATTGCATCAAATGCTTTGTGCCTCTGATGCCGTTCCCGGTGATTGTGACAGCGGGGGTGGGGAGGGAGGTGAGAGGAGAGGTGAGAAGGGAGGTGAGAGCAGGGGGGTGAGGAGAAGTGAGAGGAGTGGTATGAGGAGAGGTGAGGGATTGGGAGGGAGGGGCATTGGAGATAGGGAAATCGGGGGCGCGATTGAGGGTAGAGATGGGGATGGGGATGGGGATGGGGATGGGGATGAGGGACGTGATGGGGGTGCCACGGGGGAGGTGAGAGATGGATGTTATGATGACTGCAGTGACGAAGGCTGGGTCAGCGAAGCTGTTTGTAATGAGGATAGCAGCAGTGATTACAGCGAAGGCGCTGTGAGTGAGATCAGTGAAGAGGGCGAGGGAGATAGCGAGGATAGCGAGGATAGCGCCTTCGAGCTGGGGAAACTGGGCAAGCGCAGCAGAGCAAGGGCTGCACACAAACATTCCATTACGAGTAAGAAGAGCCGGCAAAGGAAAGCCAGCAGGAGGAACAATGGAGATGGTTCCATTACCAGGGCACACGTCCCTGGGGATAATAGCACCGGGGACGCATTTTCACAGTCGGTGACACGGCATTGCAGTCGAACGGATGGCAAAGGGTGGGTGTGCATGAAGATACCGAGGTTGGGGTTCTCGCTGTGCGACCACCACATTGGGAAAGCGGCGAAGCTGGTGGCAAAGCGTCGGGAAGAGAAACTGTTGGTAGCTGCTGGGGACATTGCGGAAGGAGAGGAAGGGGAGGACGGGGAAGGGCGTGATGGTGAAACGCAGCAGGGTGAGGAGGAGCGGAAAGTGCTAAGTCCACAGAGTTATACTGGGGGTAGGGAAATGAGGAGAGTAAGAAGTGTGAGACGCCAAGACAATTAGTGCTGAGGTAATATTGAAGAGTACAATCCCGTGTTGCTGAACGGTAATGACTTGAGTGTTCGATTTTTGGCGGCACGATAAGTGGTCATATGCCTGGAACATGCAGCTTCCTGCGCCATTCAGAAAGAAAAACAACTAAATGTGAACTAATCCTGCTAAGTAACTCAGTGCCTTCCACTGTGCTGAAATGATCAAACTTCCATACCTTTCCCCTTCTTGTCCCTGCCTCCTCCCTCACCATTCTCTCCCACTCGAGCTCCATCGTCACTGAATTTAACGTTCACTAGTCGTGCACGAGTGGCCTTTGGTGCATCCACCACTGAACTCCTGCAACAAACCGGCACCCAAGGCGGCCTTTTCTAGCAGCTTCCTCCCCCCGAGTCCCATTGGGAGAGCTGCCGAAGAAAACCCAACATGGCAAGCACCCAATATCAGGATAGGGGTTACCATGCTACAACAAAAAAAGGTGAAGCCACCCCCTCACCTCACCCTCTTGAATATGCGAGGATTACTGCTCAGTAAAACAAGAACTGTGGTGTTTTTTCCAAGCAATGAACTGGCTGATGTGTTGGTGGAGTAGCATACGAGGCCGAATTAACAATGGACGTGTACAGCATGAAGGGTGTTGCAGACTCAGGTGGCTGTTGCAGGCTCTGGTTTGATCCCCAAATGGTTTGTGACACTATGTCAAGAGTGTGCTTGCTACTTTTCGTGTTGTAGAGTATATGGGAGGAGGAGGTATTTGTCTCCTCGAATTGTGGGGCATCCTCTATATGTTTTTTTGTGCAATTGAACCGCTTGAATGAAAATCTAGGCGTGAAGGGCTAGTCTTCAACCCATTTGATAAATTATGTAGCATGCACAGGGCAGTGATGCACATCGCAACAATGACAGTCAGGAAGCTATTGAAAGAATTTGGTCAATGCGATAAAACAACATGGACATTGCATACTATATCGTGAAAACCCATTGCCGAAATTATTGCTTTATTGCTTCACGAAAAATTATTTGTTATTTGCAGCGCCGTTCAGCAAAATCAGAAGAATGAGCACATGCTGCCTCTGAAAACAGTAGGAACATGAATTGGCAGAGTTTTTGTGGTACACATCCTTGGATACTTTTTATGCAGACATCTAGAGTGATCCGTACAAATGTGAGTGGACATGCTCTTACCGGACACGTTCTTTTGGAACACCACCTCCCTTCCTCTTTTCCCCCTTCCCCTTCCTCACTGGGTTGTGAATGAGTCCTGTCGAAGACCGTATGTAACCTTTCTGCTATATAGCAGAAGCGCACTTGCACCCAAATGGATCCTTTTAAACCAGAACGAAGCTACAACTCACATTTGAGTTGTGCCGCACCCTCCGGATTGCACCTGTGTAAACGATTTATGGGAACTATGGGGACTGGGCGGCTGGTGGTGGTGCTGGATTCAACAAGCATGTATCGTAGAAATCTAGGATTCGGGATTAGGCCGTGTTACATTTTTCAAAATCACTGAAAGTCCGTACGGTAGTCCGAACGCGCGCGAAGATTGCGACGTCGCGCGGTCGCGTGGCGACCAATATGATGTCGTAAGTAAGCAAAACGAAGCATGCGACGTCGTTTAGACTCTAACGAACTCACTGCTGATATTTAACGAGTTTTGTAACCACAAAGTCGTTCGGACGGTTGCCCATCCGGACGAAAAATTTAAAAAATGTAACACGCCCTTAGTTCGTTCGTCCCTGATATGGTCAGCAGGATGGCCGTTGGCTGATGCCAGGAGTTCCCGGAAAGCCTACCAGCGTCGAGGACACGGAGAGCATTGAGCTTGGTTCAGTACTTTTATTTTTGTCCGATAAATACATTGTAGGCTCTTGGTCCGGTACTTTCATTTTCATTAATTTTAGTACAAGGCTCCTGGTCCCCCTCGCTCTTCCTGCAGCACTTAAAGTTCATGCACGCAACACCCAGGCTACTAGGTTATTTTAGTCGCTAACGTTTTCGTCCATTTCCGCCTGAAGGTAGTACAAAACGTCAAGTGTTTTGAGGCATTTCTTAAGGCCTTTCTGTTCTCGTCCGTAAGCACACATTGTCATGTAATATTTAGGCGAATAATGAGCGACTCGATTGTCGTACATTGTTATGTTTATTCGCTAAGAGTCGCATCGTCATTCCGAAATGATAATGCGACGTGAATTTCCACATTCGCCTACGTTTCGTCACTCGCCTTAGTTAATGCAGCTATTTCGTCTGAGCCTTTGCTACCTGCGTTATGGCGGCCGCATGGTGGATCGTCAGAATGTTGCCAATCCTTCTGGCAGGCCTCTTAGGGCTAGCCGGAATCATGTCCGTTACCGTCTACGTTATCGTCTTATGGCTTCGGCGGAAGGACTCAGAAGAGGTACTACGCACGGCTCTCTCACGTCTACAGGCTTGCCATTTCTTCCATTCACTGACAAATCTCTGTTCACTGACAATTCCCGAGTAACTGGAAGTTCCCCATTCGCTTCCATTTTCCACAGTCCTTACAATGACCCCATTCACTGACTGACATCTTCCATTTCAAGTCTTCCTGACATGTTCACCTTCCCCTGACATTCCCCTCTCTCCTAATTTCTGATTTAATCCTGACATCTCCACTTTTCTCTCAAATCACCAAGGAACATTTGACCCGGCTCAAAGCCTCCCTCTCCCTCACCTCCACCTCACCTTCCCCTTCGTCACCCCACAGATCGCCAAGGAGCTGATTGTTCGAGCCAAGGCCAGTCTACGTGGCGCGACACCTGCTGACGTGGCAGCTGGTGTGGCACAGCTCTCCGCGGCGGTGGACCGCGCGCCGTGGCTGGCGGGGTCGCTGCAGGAGATCCGCGCGCGCGCGCTGATGCGCCTGCAGCGGTACGAGGAGGTGGTGGCGGTGCTGGCGGAATATCTGCCGGATCTCTCCACTGTACACAACGCCATGCACTACAGTGAGTTCGTAGGGTTGCTTATAGCGGGTACAGGCTATATTATGCGGAAGGAAGTGCGCTGATGCGCCTGCAGCGGTACGAGGAGGTAGTGGCGGTGCTGGCGGAGTATCTGCCGGATCTGTCTACAGTGCACAACGCCATGTATTACAGTGAGTTCGTGGGGTTGTTTATAGCGGGTACAGGCGATGGTGTAGGGAAGAAAGTGCGCTGATGCGCCTGCAGCGGTACGAGGAGTTGGTGGCGGTGCTGGCGGATTATCAACCAGATTTCTCCAGTGTTCACAACGCCATGCACTACAGTGAGTTGTGGTTCATTCTTTATAGCGAGTACAGACAGGCAAAGATGCAAGAAACGGCAATGGTGCGCCTCCTGCAGCGTTCAAAAGAGGTGTGCACTGGTGAAAAACTGCTATGATTCGCCTCTCTTTATCCCCCCCCCTCTGTCTCCCTCCGTCCCTCTCTTGCCACCTCTCCCTCTCTCTTTCTATCTCGCTGCAGCGGAGGACGAGAACAAGTCAGCCACGGACATGTGGCAGTGCCTGCTGTTAGGGCAGGCCACGTACCACCTGGGCTGGCTGGATGAGGCACTCGTGCTGCTCCGACGCGCCAAGAGACTCAGCCAGGCTGTAGCACGGTGAGTCGTTCATGGGACTGGCTGTAGCACGGTGAGTCGTTCATGGGACTGGCTGTAGCACGGTGAGTCATCAGACTGGCTGTGGCACGGTGCGTCGCTGATGGGACAGGCTGTAGCACGGTTAAGTAAGGAACACCCTGGGCTGGCTGAATGAAGCGCTCGTGCTGCTCAGGCTCAGCCAGGCTGTAGCACGGTGAGTTCAGAAATCGGCTGTAGCATGGCGAGTCACTCGGCAGCAGGCTGTAGCCAGGCTGCAGTGCCGTGAGTCATGAATCTGGCTGTGGCGCATCACGGTGGATCGCGAATCCGCTTCCAGTTCATTGCCTTCAATGAGACAAGTTCTGAAGCGCCTCAACATTCATTTCCTTCCTCAGAATTCATTTCCTCAATATGGGAATATTCCCCCCACCCTCACCCTTCCCCCCTCACCTCACCCCAGCAAGGAGAGCGCTCTGATGGACGAGGATCAGTTCCCGGTCTTCGACGCCTCCCACCCCCGCAGCCACAGCAGCCCCCCTCTAACATCCCCTGCGCCACCACTCCTGTCCCTCTCACCCCCCGTTCACCCCAGCAAGGAGAGCGCTCTGATGGACGAGGATCAGTTCCCGGTCTTCGACGCCTCCCACCCCCGCAGCCACAGCAGCCCCCCTCTAACATCCCCTGCGCCACCACTCCTGTCCCTCTCACCCCCCGTTCACCCCAGCAAGGAGAGCGCTCTGATGGACGAGGATCAGTTCCCGGTCTTCGACGCCTCCCACCCCCGCAGCCACAGCAGCCCCCCTCTAACATCCCCTGCGCCACCACTCCTGTCCCTCTCACCCCCCGTTCACCCCAGCAAGGAGAGCGCTCTGATGGACGAGGATCAGTTCCCGGTCTTCGACGCCTCCCACCCCCGCAGCCACAGCAGCCCCCCTCTAACATCCCCTGTCCCACCACTCCTGTCCCTCTCACCCCCCGTTCACCCCAGCAAGGAGAGCGCTCTGATGGACGAGGATCAGTTCCCGGTCTTCGACGCCTCCCACCCCCGCAGCCACAGCAGCCCCCCTCTAACATCCCCTCCGCCACCACTCCTGTCCCTCTCACCCCCGTTCACCCCAGCAAGGAGAGCGCTCTGATGGACGAGGATCAGTTCCCGGTCTTCAACGCCTCCCACCCTGCAGCTACAGCGCCCCAATCCTATTCCCTGCCTCACCCCCTTTCTCCCTTCCACCCTCACCCTTCTTCCCTCCACCTCAGCAAGGAGAGCGCCCTGATGGACGAGGATCAGTTCCCGGTCTTCGACGCCTCCCACCCTGCAGCTACGGCGCCTCTCTCTGCATCCTCCTCAGCGGGGGAGACCCTCAACCGCCTCATCCTCGTCATCCGCTTCCTGCTCTGGCGCCGCTCCGCTGGCGATGCTGCCTTTGCTGCCGGGCTTTACCTGGAGGCCGTTAGGCACTATTCGAAAGGTGCGTGTGAGTGTGAGTGCGTGAGGGTGGGTGGGTGCGTCTGTGGGCATGGGATTGGGTGCTGCGTCCTCCTCGGCGGGCGAGACCCTCAACCGCCTCATCCTCGTCATCCGCTTCCTGCTCTGGCGCCGCTCTGCCGGTGATGCTGCCTTTGCTGCTGGGCTCTTCCCTGAAGCTGTCAGGCACTATTCAAAAGGTGGGACCCTATTTGCGTGTGGGTGTGGGTGTGAGTGTGTGGGTGTGTGAGGGTGGGTAGGTCCACGCGCGCGCGTCTGTGTGTGCGTTGGTGGGCATGGGAGTGGGTGCTAAGTCCTCCTCAGCGGGAGAGAACGTCAACCGGCTCATCCTCGTCATCAGCTTCCTTCTCTGGCGCCGCTTCGCCGGCGACGCTGCCTTAGCTGCCGGGCTTTACCCCGAAGCTGTCCGCCACTACTCCAAAGGTGACACCTTCTTAGAAGGGTGTGTGTGTGTGGTTGTGGCTGTGTGAACGAGAGTGAGTGTGTGTGTGTGTGTGCGCGCGCGCGCGCGTGCGTGCGTGCGTGTCCATGTGTGTCTGTGTGTCAGATGAAACTCCTTCCCTTCAACTTTTGTCCCTCACTCCCCTTCCTCCTCTTACCCCCAAACACACCCTTCCCCCACCCTCCTCCCCTCCAAGAAGGGCATTCCCCAATCCCTAGCCGCCTCTCTCTTCCTCCACCAAGCATCACATGTTTTCCTCTTGAACTCTAACCCCCCCCTTTCCGTCTTCCCTCCGTGCAGTTCTCGAGTCCAAGAAGGGCATTCCCCAATCCCTGGCCGCCTCTCTCTTCCTCCGCCGAGCCGCAGCCTTCCAAGCCTCCAGCCGTATCGCCGATGCTATCGCCGACTGCTCCCGAGCCTCAGCCCTGGAGCCTCACCGAGCCGACGCGCTCTGGTGCCGAGCCTGCCTCTACCAGTCCGTCGGCTGCTTCCAGGAAGCTTCTCAAGACCTGGAGCGTCTCCTTTCTTTCTACCAGGAGCTGTTGGCGTCAGCAGGAGGAGGGAGGGACCTCTGGTTACGGTTACAAATCAGCTGCGGGTTCTGTGCTGCTTGCTTTTTCGACGAAGCTGTCAGTGGGGCAGCAAGGGCAGGGGGGGGCCTGGGGGCGGGGGCAGGGGCGCGGAGTACAGGGGAAGCAGGGGAACAAATTGGGGTGGCGGGGGTGGGGAAGAAGGGTGGGAGTGGCAGGTGTACTCTGTGTGGGAGAGTGAGGTCTGCTAGGCTGGGAGCAGGTGACACTGGGCTGGTAGCTGCGTTGGAGCTAGGGCTTGGAGGGGAGAAGCGGAAGTTTGTGGGCAGGCAGAGGGGCCTGAGGCGGTGGTTTGCCAATGCGGTTGTGCACGTTGGGAGGTGGTTCGTGGCATTAGGGAGGGTGTTGGGAGTGGTGGCGCAGGAGGAAGAGGATGAGGCGGGGTGGTGGCGTGAGCAGACGAATATGGAAGTTGCTGAGAAGCATCTCACATGGGAGCACGTGCGGCGGGTAAAGGCTAAGCTAGAGAAAGTACGGGCAGAGGGAGCAGCAGCTGAAGCAGCAGCCGCAGCAGCAGCGGCAGCAGGGGCGGATGGTCATGGAGAGGGAGCGGTGGGGGAGGGAGGTGAGGGGAGGGAGGGGGGGAGGGACGGGAGGGATGTGGCAGTTAGTCAGCGCAGACTGATGGATCATGCTCGCATCTTAGGCCTCTCCACCTCCACGGCTGCGTCTATAGGCGCTCTCTCCTCCTCCCTCTCCCGCTCTCTCTCCCTCACTGGAGGAGCAGGAGGAGCAGGAGGAGGAGGAGGAGGAGGAGGAGGAGGTGAGGGTGCTGGTGGGGGGTTGGGTAGTGCCCCTTCCTCCCTGCCTCAATCCCCTACCTATTCCCAGCAGCAGGAGCAGCGCGAGCAGCAGCGGGAGCAGAGGGAGCAGCAGAGAGAGGCGTTGCGGGAAGGGCTAGCTGCGTCTCTTGCTCTAGCTGCCTACCGCATTGCTCTCATCCGTAACTCCGAAGCCCGTGCCCTCACGTTTGTTGAGAAGTGCGCTATCAGAGACGGGCGGAGCCCTGAGGAGGTGAAAGATGAAGTGATGCATGAATGGGCGAGGTTAGATGGGGTATTGCAGGAGGCTTACGCTCAGCTGATACAGGCGACGGGAGGGAACAAGGACTCTGCTGCTGCTGCTGCTGCCGCGCTGCAGGTTCATGATTTGGATGATTTGGATGATTTGGATGGGGAGGATGGGGAAGGGGAGGGGGACGGGGATGAGGATGGGGGAGCGGAGTGGGGGGAAGGGGAGGGGGAAGGGGAGGGGGGGGATGTGGAGGGGCGGATGCGGAGACGGGGGGAGAGGCGGAAGCTGTTTGGAAGGAGGCTGCCTGGGACACCGAGTTTTAATTTGAGGCGGGGTGGGGATGAGATGGACGTGGGGCGGATGCTGAGGGGGAAGTCGAGGGTGTGGGAGAGAGGTTCGGGGAAGAGAGCAGGGAGGGAGGATATGGAGGGGAAAGGGGAAGGTGGGGACTGGTGGAGGAAAGGGAGGAGGGATAAGAAGATGAGGGATGAGAGGGGATGGAGGGAGAGGGAGGAAAGGAGGGAGAGGGAGGGGGACTCCATGGGTATGAGTCCGAAGCTGCACTCGTTTCGGATGGAGAGGTGGGTGGAGGAAGGGGCATCTATGGATGGAATGCGGTTGGATTCGTTTGATTTCGGTGTAGTTGGGGATGTGTTTGGAGGGCTGGGCAGTAGGATGAAGATTTGGAAGAAAAAGGAGGGGGTGCGGGCGGGAGGGAGGGAGAAGGAGGGGAGAGAGGAGGAGAAGGAGGAGAAGGGGGAAAAGGGGAGAGAGAAGGAGAGAGAGAAGGAGAAGGAGAGGAGGAGGAGGAAGAAGTTGGGGGTGGGAGATTTGCTTGGGGAGGAGGAAGATGATGAGGTGGAGCAACGGTCCAGATTTGGTTTTGGAGTGCTGGCGTGGGAGCGAGAGAAGGATAAGGAGAGGGAGAGGGAGAAGGAGAGAGAGCGGATGGAGAGGGAGCGGGAGAAAGCAGAGAGGGAGAGGGAGAAGGAGAAGGAGAGGGCAGAGAGGGAGCGAGAAAAAGAGCGGGAGAGGGCCGAGAGAGAGAAGGAGAAGGCGGAGAAGGAGAGGGAGAAGCAGGAACGGAAGGGGAGGGAGCGAGAGGAGCGGGAGGAGAGGCGAGAACGCGAGCGGGCTGTGAAAAAGGAGAAGGAGAGGGAGCGGCGGGAGAGGAGGGAGAGGAGGAAGAAGTTGCAGGGATCGGCGGAAGACTTAGCTGGGGAGTTCAAGGAGGAAGCGGAAGGGAAGGAGAGCGTGAGGGAGAAGGAAGGAGATCGGCCGGATACAGCAGGGGCTGTCGTGCAGAGAGCAGGGGAAGGGGGGGGTGGGAGAGAGAGTAGGGTTGCGGGCAGGGTGGCGAGTATGGGGAGGGAGAGTGACAGTGAGGGTGAGTATGAGCGGGAGCAGTGGCACCCTGGCGGAGGTGATTATAACGAAGGGGCTGATTCGTTTGTGGATAGGTTGGTTGTGCACGAGGGGGGTAAAACGGGGGGAGAGAGTGACAGTGAGTGGGGGAAGATGAAGGAGTGGGGGAGAATGCGGAAGTGGGGGCGGAAGAGGAGGGGAGGGGCGCGAGGAGGGGGGAGGAGGGAGAGTGACAGTGAGAGTGACGCAGAGAGTGATGGGAGGTTCAGGGGAGGGAGTGGGGATTGGCTTAGAGGGACAGCCAGTGCAGGTGTGGGTGGGGGAGGAGTGGGAGGAGGGAGTGAGAGTGATAGTGATCGTGAGGGAGTGAGTGAGAGTGAGAGGATCAATGAGCTGATTATGGGGGAGGGAGGGGGCTTGGAGGGGCGTTAACAGTGGGAGCGGCAGGAGGAGAAGCAGGAGTAGCAGGAGGGGCAGTAGGCGCAGCATTAGCAGGGGGAGGAGCAGCAGCAGCTGATGTGGCAGGGGGTTCAGGCTCATTCCCTTCCTTCCCGTCTCTCTCAGATACGCTGACGTCAGCAGGACAGAGCGAGGAAACTTCCTTTGCAACTTCTGATACTTCAAGTCTCGGGGGTGTGGAGGAGGAAGGGGAGGGAGGGCAGGCAGAGCGTCTGCTGGGAAGTGAGGTGGTGGAGCAAGGATTTGCACTGAGGGCAGACCAGGGTAGGGCTGAGAGGGTGGGAGAAGCAGGAGGGGATCAGGAGAAGCAGGGGATGGAGAATTCGGCAGCGGCGGCAGGAGGGGCAGGAGGGGGTGGTATGGGCCGCGCAGATTCATTCTCATTCAACAAACCTGTCCCAGTCCCACTTACGCCAGGAGATTCCTCCACTCCAGCTGCTGCTATTGCTGCTGCTGGCGCCACAACAGGTCACGCTACCTCTGCCTCGTCCCATTCCTCCTCCTCTTCCTCCTCCTCCCCGTTAACCTCTCTTTCCTCTCTTCCATCTGCTGGCACTCCTTCCTCTGCTACCCACACTCCATCCGGTCCCTCCCCTGCTGGCCCCACCACACTAGAACGGCTGCTGATCAGTAAACCTTCCACTCCACCTTCTCGCACGGTTTCGTCCTCCATTCCGTCCTCCGTATTGGCTGCTTCGTTATCAGGCAGCCCGATGGGAGGGAAGAAAGAGAGAGAGGAAGGGTTCACGCCTAAGTGGGGTCCGTCCTCTTGGACACGTGGGGGGAGGGAGAAGGATAAGGATAGGGAGAAGGGGGGGAGGGAGAAGGGGAAGGAGAAGGATAGGGAGAAGGGAGGGAGAGAGAAGGAGAGAGAAAGAGACGAGGAGAAGGGAGGGCGGCCGAGGGAGAGGGGGAGAGATGGGAGTGTGGGAAGGGAAAGGGGCCGAGAGGAAGGATGGAGAGAGGAAAATAGGGACCATAAGGAGACCGAGAGAGGAGAAGGGTTACAAAGGCAAGGTAGCCGAGAGGCAGACACTGGGAGCGATGCTGGTGGTGTTGTTGATGATGATGTTGCCAGTGCTGCAGCTGCTGGTGCTGCTAGTGATGCAGCTGCAGCTGCAGCTGCTGCCGCATGGTCCGTGTCTGATGATGCGCCAACCCCATCCAAGCCACGCTCCCGCTCGGCAATTGAGGAAGAATCCAAGCATACAGGGACAGCTGCAGCAGCAGCAGCAGGAGGAGAAGGGGGAACAGGAGGAGCCATGAGACGCAGTAAGAGTGCTAAGGGTGGTGGTCCTAGCGGTGCGAGTGGCGCTAGTGGTGGTGGTGGTGGTGGTTCAGGAACGGGGGCTGGTGGGGGGGGGGTTAGTACCAGTGCGGGTGGCAGTGGAGGAGGTGGTATTGGGAGCAGTTTCTTTGAAGCAGCACAGAAGGGTGCGGGTGGGATAGGGCTAGGTGTTGGAGCCTTGCAGTCGGTAGGGGCGCTGAAGTTTCGACGGAAAGTGGATGAGAAGGGGGAGGGGAGGGCAGGGGAGGGGCGAGCAGGGGAGGGGAGAGCAGCGGAGGAAGGCGGGAGAGAGGGAGGAGAGGGTGGGAAGGAGGGGCGAGAAGGAAAGGGGAGGCGGGAAGGGAAGGAGGGGAGGGTTCAGAGGGATGTGGGTGAGGGGATGGAAGGGGAGGAGGAGGAAGAGAGGAAGAAGAGTGAGAAGAAGGGCGAGAAGAAGAGGCATGGGAATGTGTTCAAGATAGGGGGGTTGCTGGGGGGAGGAGGGAGTGGAGGGGGGAGCAGCCTTGGTAGTAGCAATACGGGTAACAGCAACAACAACAACAGCACTGGCGGTGCTGGTGATGTGGCTGCGGTTTCCCCGACAGTTGCCACGTCAGCCTCTATCTTCGCCACGTCAGCACAAAATTACGTCTCTTGGGAAGGTTCAGGACAGGAACCAGGCGTTCTGAGCCCCCACAAAGCTCCTCTTGCTGCCACGTCAGCAGCAGGCACGGTAGCTGCAGCAGCAGCAGCAGCAGCAGCAGGTGCGCATATGCAATCAGGTGAGCTAGCTGGGCTAGGAGCAGCAGTAACCCCCTTCTCAGCCGAGTCCATGGCAGGCTTAACCGGGGAGGGCTCAACTATTGGTGCAGTGGCCAATCCCGAAATCTTTTTAAAACCAGGATTGCTGGCATTGGCAACAGGGGCAGGGAGGGGAGGGTTCGGGGTCGGGCTTTTGCACGAGCAAGGGGGGAGGGTTAAAGAGCGGGAACGGGATAGCAGCCCTCCAAAGCCGAGCCCCCACAGGGGAAACATATTCTCCGTGCCAGGGATTAGACTGAGAAAGGACCCGAATCGAGAGAGGGACAAGGAGAGGGAGGGTGGGGGTAAGGGGGAGGGTGGCCGGGAGGGAGGTAAGGAGGGCGGGGAACGGGACAGGCCTCTTGTTTCTGCGGCAATGAATCTGGTTCGGATGGAAGGGTTGGGAAGGAAGGGGCCGAGCAAGTCAGGGCCGATACTGCTGGGCTCGTATGGGTCTTCTGCAGCAGCTGTAGCAGCTGTAGCGCCGGCTGTAGCGCCGGTTGTAGCACCGGCTGTAGCACCAGCTTTAGCTGCTGCAGCATCAGTTTCATCTCCTAATACGGCAGCAGCAGCAGCAGCAGCAGCAGCAGCAGCAGTAGCAGCAGCAACAGCGCCATGTACCTTGAGCTGGGAGGACAGCTCTAGTGGAGGCACTAGGCTGGGTGGTGATAATTCTTCTTCTGCTGCTGCTTCTGCTGCTGCGGGTGGTGATGGTGCTGGAGTTGCTGTCGCGGTTGGTGCTGCTGCTGCCACTGCTGCTACTGCTGCTGGTGGGGCCGATCACATGACTCCTAGAACTGGTAGTGGCAAGCTAGAGCCTGTTCTTCGAGCTATGGCTGCTGCTGGTGCTGGTCCTGCTAGTGCTAGTGCTGCTGGTATTGCTGGTGCTGGTGCTGGTGCTGCTGCTGCTGCTGCTGCTGCTGCTGCTGCTGCTGCTGCTGCTGCTGCTGCTGCTGCTGCTGGTGCTGCTGCTGCTGCTGGTGCTGCTGCTGCTGCTGCAAGCACCGCAGGTAGGAGCACTGAGGTTTTGCATGATGCTGCTGTTGCTGCTGCTGTAGCAGGGGGGAGACAAGCAGCAGGAGGTACAACAGAATTAGCTTCAGGGGAAAATGCACCGCTCTCCACCGCTCCACACATCCTCCGGGCGAGCAGAAGCAGCAGCTTCGGCAGCTATCATCACAGCAGCAGCAGCGGCCGCAGTGCCAGCTTAGGCAGCAGTGCCAGCTTCAGAAACGCCATGTTTGGTGGCTCAATTTCAGCAGGAGGAGGAGCAGGGGGAGCAGCAGGAGGGGGGGGTGTGGGAGGAGAGTGGGGGGGTGTGGGGGCCGGAGTGGGAGCAGCGGCTTCTTCACCAGGAGGGGGGTCAGAACAGACAAGCGATGCTACTCTCTGGCTTCCAGTGCCACCCCACACCGACCATTTCGGTGCCGTTACCGCCGCTGGTGCACCAGGTGCTTCGCCAGGTGGTTTCTCAGGTGAATTCAACGCGATCATGTCCCCGACCACGCCAACTGAGCCACACTCCAGCCACCCTCACTCCCTCGCTCCCCCGCTTCCGGAGGTGGAGGAGGGGGATGAGGAGGGGGCGATAGGCGAGGAGGGGGAGGAGGGGGAGGAGTGTGGGGAGGGCGAGGGAGGGGAGGCGGCAACACCGAGTGCGGTGGAGGGGAGGGGTGCAAAGAAGATGGTGGCTCATGCTGTGTTGGGAGGGCTCAAGAAGGGGTTGAGAACAGGGTCTCAGCTGGGGAAGAAAATCGCTGCTGCCACTATGAGCCCTCAGAGGTGAGTTCTGAGGCCCATTTTCCACCCCTTTCCTCTTTGCCGTTTCTCCTCCCTCTTCTTTACTCATATACCCCTTGCCTCTCAATCCCCCAGGGCCCTCGCGACAGCAATCACCAAGGAGGTAGACCTGATGAACACCAAGATCGCAGCCACCATCCGCAGCAGAGCCGGCTCCTCTACTGCCCCCTCCACTGCCCCCACCATACCCACCCCCACCCCCACCACCGCCGCTGGTCTCCCCAGCAGCACTCTCAGCAGCAGCAGCACTGGCAGCAGTACTGTCGCTCCTTATGCTGCCACTCTCACCGGCAGCAACAGCAACAGTGGCAGCAGCGCTGCTAACGAGGCTTCCTCTGCAGCAACAGCAGCGGCGGCGGTGGCGGCTGCTGCATTTTCTGCGGCTGGCAATGGCAGTGGTAGCGGTGGTAGTGGTATGATCGGTGATAGCGGTGGTGCTGGTGCTGCATTCTCAGGCCCACTATCAGCGCCTTCCTTCCATCCGCCACTCCCCCTGCCCTCCCCTGCTCCTGTCCCAACCTCTCCTGACTCGACTCTCGCTGAGGCTGTGGCAGCAGCAGAGGCAGCAGCTGCAGCATATGAAGCAGCGAGTGCAGCAGGTGCATCAGGAGCAGCAAGGGGGGATGGAGGAGGAGGAGGCAGTGCAACAGCTATATCTGGGCCAACAGGGACGGGAGCAGGGTTGGGAGCAGGAGCAGCAGCAGGAACAGGAGCAGATGGTAAGGGAAATGGCGCCAGCAGCACTGGCTGCACCCGTGATGGTGCTGGGGCTGGTAGCAGCAGTAGTGCAGCAGCAGCAATAGACAGCAGGGACAGGGGCAGGGCCAGTAGACGCAGCGGTGGCAGCAGCGGCAGTGGAGGCAGTGTGGGTAGTGGGAGTAGCGGCCTTGGCAGAAGCAACAGTGTTGATGGTGCTGCCAGCAGTGCTGCTGGTGGTGCTGCTGCTGGTGCTGCTGCTGGTGGTCCTGGCCGTGCTGCTGCTGCAGCTGCTGTTGCTGCTGCTGGTTGCGGCTATGAAACGATCCTTGTCAGGTGAAGATAGCAGGGATGGAGGAGGCATCTAATCTGCTCCAGATGAGAGTTGTGGAATCAAATCAAACACTGCTCCAGATGAGAGTCTTGCATTCAGCTGGTGAAGCCAGTGAAGCCAGGGAAGCTGGTGACGCCAGTGAAGCCAGGGAAGCTGGTGAAGCCAGTGAAGCCAGGGAAGCTGGTGAAGCCAGGGAAGCCAGTGAAGCCAGGGAAGCCAATGATTCTTGGCTTGAGCTGCCAAATTCGTACGTCTCTCTGAAAGTGCTACTGCTCTGTACCATATGTTGGGCTGAGAAAATGGCCCTTAGGATCTTTGCAAGGGTAAATTCGGGGTAGGATAATTGTAATAGCGGAAGCGTTTATGAAGTGCTTGTGAACCACCTTGCGCTGGTATGTGAGGGCAAAGTAAGTTGATTATAACAAAGAGATACAAGAATATATAGTGATACAAGGAATACGAAAGGATACGATTGTAACTAATTTGCTGTTGCGGTTCGATACAGTACGACTCGGGCAACTGCTCTGTAACGAGTCAGTTGTGTGTCCTTAACTGTCGCGCTGTACTTGTCAGGTCAAAGGTCGCTTGACCTTTGACTTTCGCGTAACCTCCAGCAACCTCTTTCAACCTCCGAGGGTTGACTCGCTCGTGCCTCGATATGACTCGCTTCGCTTCTGGTGTGATGTTTCGACACGACAGAGGCGCTTTAGGAATTACTTGTTTCCAACACTCCCCTTCGCTTCTGGAGTGTCGCTGCTGATGACGTGGCCTTGTCCAGTCAGCAGCATGCAGTACTCGAACTTCTGCTTTCCGAGCTTCTTGGTCAAATAGTCGGCTGCCATCTCGGACGTGGGACAGTAGGATAGTTCAAGTCTCCCCTTCTCGATCTCGTCTTTCACGAAGAAATATCGCAGGGCGATATGTTTCGTTCTGTTCGCGAAGCCACTTTTGTTGGCTATGCGGATTGCAGATTGGTTGTCGCAGAACAGAGTGAAGTTGGGTAACTCGGCTAACTTCGCTTCTTCCAGCAGCTCGCGAAGGTAAAGTCCTTCCTTGGTGGCTGAGCAGAGTGCGATATATTCTGCTTCAGCTGATGAGAGGGCGATTAGTTCTTGCTTACTCGACTGCCAGGAGATAGGACCGATAGGCTCGAGTCGGTAGATGTAGCCGGTGCGGGAGCGCCTATTGTCGGAATCGCCGGCGTGATCGGCATCGACATAGCCGATTAGCTTGGTTGGTGTAGTTGCGTTCTTGTGATACGTTAAGCCGATCGTTGGAGTGCTGACGAGGTAGTGAAGGGCGCGGTCGAGTTCCGCCAGGTGTTCTGTTTCAGGCCTTTTGAGGTAGGTAGCGAGCTGGCTTGCGGAGTATGAGAGGTCGGGGCGGCAGGTGACAGCTGCGAAGAGAAGACAGCCCAACTTTCTCTGGTAGTCGCGTATGCCGGCGGGCTTCAGTAGAGTAGATCCTCCCTTGTCGGCTCCTGTCGTGTAACGGTATGGCGTGGAGATCGCGGTCGGTGTGAAGGCGAAACGCTTGGCGATAGTGTCGGCGTATTTTGCGGCGCTGAGGTAGATCGCGTCGTTATCTTCTCGAATGTTGAGCCCAAGATATTGTGTGACGGTAGATGAGACCGTGAGCGTGAGATCCTGCTGCAGCTCCCCTTCGAACCAGGTGGTGATGTCGTCGGTCGAGCCGATGTAGAGGAGGTCGTCTACGTAGACGATTAGTAGGACGTAGTCGTTGTTCTTCGTAAGCCGGTACATCCCTTGATCGTGGGGCAGTTGATTGAATCCAATGCGGATGAGACGGGCGTGTAGATACTGCTGCCATAGCCGCGGGGCTTGCTTAATCCCGTAGAGCGATTTCAGTAGTTGACAGACCTTGTTTGGTTCTCCGTTAGTGCCATGTGGGAGTTCGACGAAGATCTCCGCGTCGACAGGTGCGTAGAGAAATGCGTTGGCGACATCGATCTGTCGTAGCTTCTTCTTCTTCATGGCGGCGATCGCGAGAAGAATTCGGAGTGAGGTGTGTCGGCTGACCGGGGCGAATGTCTCGGTGAAGTCCCGTCCGTGCTCCTGATCGAATCCACGTACCACCCAGCGTGCTTTAAATTTCTCGATTGTGCCGTCTGCCTTTGTTTTGACGCGGAAGACCCATTTCCCGGTAAGAATGGTCTTGTTTCTTGCCACGCTGATGGGAACGACTTTCCAGGTGTTCCGTTCCTCCAGCGCTTTTAATTCTCTGTCCATGGCTTCACGCCATTTCTCCCTGTGTTCCCCCCCCAGAGCCTGCTGAACCGTGGCAGGCTCCTTAGGAATGGCTGAGCCGTGGACTGCGGTGACGAGGCCGAGAATTTGCAGTCCACTCTGTGAGTAGCGGGGGAGTGTGGTATCCTCGGGATAAACAGCTTCGTCTCCTGTTTCAGGTGTTGGATTGAAATTCGGTCCTACTCGTTCTGCTTCGTTGGTGTTGACCCGTGCAGGTGTAACGTAACCATTGTCGGCGAATTCGTAGAAGACTTCGGCGTTGACGCTTTCGCGAGGATTGTCTTCGTCCATTGGGATGTCCACGGAGCAGTAAGGGAGAGGTCCGGCTGCTTCCGAGGCTCCCTCCACGTTCTGCTCGTCCCAGTCAGCTTCGTCTTCTGCCGAGGCGAAGGCTCGGTGCCCATGAAATCCGCCCGAGAGGTCAGGTCTGTTTTCTTCGATGTACATGAGGTGAGTTCCGAGGGTGAGGTGTTCGTAGAAGATGACATCACGTGCTGCTACTGTTTCTTTGCTGTTGATGTCGAAAATTTTCCACGCATTGTAATGTTTTGCGATGCCCAGGTGTAGTCCCCACTGTGCGCGTTGAGAGAATCGCCCAGCTCGTGCAGATGGGGGTCGGTACTGTACCATGCAACCGAAGACTCTCAACATTTTTGTGCTGCCCAATTTCCCTGTCCACAGCAGATGCGGTGATGCGTTGTTCGGGAGCGATGATGACGAAAGCAAGTTGTGCAGCATGACGGCGTGGTCCATCGCTTCGGGCCACTGGTGGTTGGGCAGGTGCATGCCACGTAGCAGCTTGCGCATGGTGGCTTGCAGCGTCCTGTTCATCCTTTCTGCTACGCCTTGCTGTTGATGAGCGTAGGGAAGGGAGATGAGCCTCTTGATTCCTCTTTCTGCCAAGTACTGCTTGAACCTCTGTGAGGTGTATTCTCCTCCCCCGTCTGACTGAAAACTCTTTAGCTTAGCTCCCGATTCTCGTTCTGCGACTGGAAGCCAGGCGACAAAGGCTTCGAAAGCCATGTCGCGACTTGGAAGGTTTAGGTGCCAGACATATCGAGTTGCGGCGTCGATGAAGGTGATGGTGTAGCTGTAGGCGTTTTGTCCGGGTTCACGGTTGTATAAGATGTCGCTGTACACCTTTTCGAGAGGTGTGTATGCAGGTGCGCTTGGATTGTGATGTGAGATGAATGGCTGGTGTGGTAAGTCGGCTTCAGGGCAGGTGAAGCACGTTCCACGGGCTCGTTGAAGTTCTCTGCCGTCGGTCAGTAAAAGTGAGTCTTTATCGAGCACTCCTGCTCTTATCGTGTTGTTTAACACTGTGTTGCTTGGATGTCCCATTCTTGCGTGCCAGGTACCTTCAGTGGCGCGATGTCCGGGTGACCGTCGATATAGGTCCGAGTTAAAGTAGAAGCCGGCTGTGACGTTGGTGCTTCGGTGGACTTCTCGTGGTGCCGGTTTTAACTGTTGTGCGGGTGTCGGTGGCGAATCGTCGATGGAGATTGATGTCGTTGAAGGACCGGCGATGGGTGGCGGTGTAGTCGCTGCTGTTGCTGATGTTGTCTCTGCTGCTGATGTTGTTCCTGCTGCTGCCGATGTTGTCTCTGCTGCTGCCGATGTTGTTCCTGCTGCTGCCGATGTTGTCTCTGCTGCTGCCGATGTTGTTCCTGCTGCTGCCGATGTTTGTTG